GAATCCAGACAGGTCTGGAAAGTTCACTCGGGTGGCATTGTGGGCTAGTGCTTAGAGGCTGAGCCCACACAGGATGCAGTGTTGCCAGCAGAGCGCTGGAATGGGAGGCTGGCAGGCGTTCATTCGTGAGATGCTTGCTGAAGGGAACTGCATTCCTCCGGGCCTACGACACTGCGAGTTCCTTTAGGATGATGATGGGTCGGCTTGAGTGCCTTCCTGGGTGTTTAACCCCCAGCGTGCACTCATGCAGTCTCTGATGAGGGGTCAGAGAGATGGCTCAGCCAGCCGAGCACATGTTTTGCATGCAGGAGGCCTGAGTTTGGAGCTCAGCACTGGGAGTCATGCGTGGGTGCCGCCAGGTGTGGTCCAGAGACACAAACAGGAAAAGGGAAAATCTTTGTTGAGTGGATAACTCCAGAGAGCCAGTGAGGATTCCCTTGAGCTCCTCTGGTGTCTGACGTGGTAAGGGTGGGCTGTCCTCCAAGAATCAGCCCTCACTTGTTGGGGAGAGAGTCTAGAAAATCTTGGAAAGCAGGTGAGAATTTTGAAGAGCTGAGTGTGAGCGCAGGGCTGGCCCCCTGCAGCGTCATGGGCGTGTGAGCAGGTCGGTGGAGGGAAAAGTCACATTATGTCTATTGAGCAGATGTGTTCTCAACATCGGATGTAAAGCCTCGGCCCTCTGTTACTTCTAACTGATTTTAGGGCCTTGTGGATCATTTGAAGACACTGGGCAATGCATTTTTTTTTTTTTAACGTGTGATTTTCTGCCATTAGTTACAGCCATGCTGTTTGGCAGCCAGTGGAGTTGAGCTCAGGTTCCAGAGCTGGGTACCTTCAAGGCTGCCTCCTTTCAAAGCTATGCACCCAGTGCTTTTCTAGTTTTGGAGTTTTGAAGAGCTGATTCCCCAGGGGTCCCAGCCCAGAGAGTTGATCTGTTGACCTTTGCTCTTAGTAACTGGAAGTTTCTGTTCTCATCTCTCTGCCTTGTTTTATGGTTTGTTTTGGTTTTTCACTTTTTTTCTTTCGTTCTTTCGTTCTGTCTTTCGTTCTTTCCTTCTTTCTTTCCTCCCCATTCTTTCTTCATCTTTTTTTTTTTTTTTGATTGGTGGGGAATGGCCACAACCCAGTTGTGTGCAGGGCTTACTTTGGTCTCTGTACTCAGGGTGGACTCGGAGACCATATGAGATGCTACATCTTGAACCCAGGTTAGGTGTGCCTTATCTGCTACACTGTCTCTCTGGTTCTCTACCTGTTTGTTAGTTTATGTTAGTATCTGCCTTGCTGATAGCCACGTTTCCCAAACAGCGAATATACACAAACATAGCCCAAAGGAGACCAAGATGAAAGAGGAGCTGTTCCTGAAACATCCTGCTAGCCTTCCTTAGGAATTAAGCTTGGGTCTTTATCTCATCGCTCCACATCTGGATTACATAGGTGCACTGCTGGGCTGAGGCTTTGAGGACAGTGCCCGCCAAAGAAAAAATTGAAGCTATGTAGGGAAGGGGGTAATCGTGGGTGGGGGGTCTGGCAGGCTTGAGGCTCTTACTTGACTGGTTCTCGGCTGTGGCACTGTGTCTTAGACATTTATTAGAGATGAATCCTCCAACAAAAGCCCGCGAGTGGGCCAGAGGGAAGGTCCAGCAGGCAGGGTGCTTCCCTGGCATGCAGGTGATGGTACTGCATATGGTTCTCCAGAACTGTCGCGTGTAAGCCCTGAGCATTGCCTAAGGTGTCCCCCAAGCTTAGAAACTCTAAATAAAACATAGAACTCACTAGAAAAGACAACGGACCTTCAGCGAGGTCTTTTGGTTATTGAGCTCCATGTGTGGGGTTGGCGTTCAGCTTGCCCCATTGATCATGTGGTGCTGGGCCCTCAACCCAGGCCTCTGACCTGCAAAGCAAGTGCCCTGATGCTTTGAGATATCTCCTGGGCATGAAATCTCTTTATATTGGCCACTTGGCCTTGTATGCATCCGACTTTGGGTTCATCCCCTACACTGCCAAGGAGGGACTCCAAGCACTGCTGAGTTGACCCTCCCCACGCCAAGTAAAGACCCTAAGAAATATTCACTGTCACTGTCCTCCCGTTGTTCATCAATTTGCTCGAGTGGGCCCAGTAACGTCTCCATTTTGAGACTCTTTGTTACTGTGTTTGGCATATTGAAGACGTCACGAGTAGCTTGCCAGGCTTTGCCGCGCAGGTGAGATACTCTCGGTAGCTTGTCGGGCTCTCCGAGAGGGGTGGAGGAATCGAACCCGGCTTGGCCAGGCTGGCTGTGCGCAAGGCAAATGCCTTACTGCTGTGCTATCGCTCCAGCCCGAGAAATATTCAATTCTTTAAAAATGGTTAAGAAAAAAAAATTAGACAAGCATTTAAAAACACTTAGCAACAGCTGCACCTTCTAGAAGGCAGACTTCACCACTGTCTGATTTTCTGGAGAGATCCAAGTTGCCTGGTACTAGATAGAAGGAAATTCATTCAGCTCTGAGAAGTCCTGGCTTAATAATATGCCGCTTGTCTTGATGGGTTGTTGCTCAGAGCAGGTTGTGTAGGCAGTTATCGCCTGAGAAATCCTTGTAAATGGTATTATTAATACTTTATAAGTAGGTTGAAAGAATTTCTTTTTCTAAAGCATTTTAAAATTTGTAGATGAAAGACTGTACAGATGAAGTTGGTGTCGGCCTCTTTCCCCTCCACAAGGAGAAAATACTCTCCTTAAGGTGGGAAGGCTTAAACTACCCCTTGGTTCTCTGTTACAAACTGCTTGTATTGAGATTAAAGTGGGTGTCAGAAACTCCCAAGAGTACAGCAAAAAAAAAAAAAAAACCTGGAATTTTGGACTTGCAATGAATCGTTTTTAATCTTGACTCAAACAGATATAAGTATTAGTTCGTTGTTGACCAGACTTGGGAAAAATATGGTCCTGTGACTGGAGCAATAGTACAGTGGGTAGAGTGCTTGCCTTGCACTCAGCTGACCCGGGTGCCATCCCTGGCACCTCTCTGGCCCCCCAAACCCTCCAGGACTGACTCCCAAGTGCAGAGCCAGGAGTAAGCCCTGAGCACCACCCGGTGTGGCGCCCAGAAACCGAAAAAGAGAAAATACGATCCCTTGTTAATGGGTCCCAACTATGTTCTTCTCTATTTTATTTCAGAGAAGAGATCAGCCTAATTTGAAAAGGAGTCTTTTATTTTTAACATATAGGATTTGTTATTCTACCGGTCTAAATTAGTCTTAGGTGCATATTCAAAACATTCTTATGAAAATTATGCTTGCAAAATCTGAGCCAAGTTCTTGCTTTAAAACAGCCCTCCCTCCCCCCCCCAAAAAACAAAACAGCTGAAGAGATAGTAGGGGTGGATAAGGCTGCCTTACATGCAGCCAACCCTGAATTGATCCCCAGCATCACATACGGTTCCTGAGCACTGTTAGACGTGACTCCTGAGCCGGGAGTAACTGTGACTCAGTAAGCCCTCTGTAATAAAATGAGAAATACTGGGGGCCTGAGTGATGGTATAGTGGGTAAGATGCTTGCCTTGTATCTGCCTTTCTGGTATTTGACAGCTTCCCTCCCCCCCCCCCCCCCATACCATATGGTCCTCAGAGCCAGCCAGGAATGATACCTGAGTGCCTGAGTAAGAACCACAGGATGTGGCCCAATGAAGTAAAAAACCCAAATAGCAAAGCAGAGTCTGATAGCAGGGAATCACAAAATATGCTTAAGTAACCATAATGCATGGTGTTTTCGGGGGAAAAAAATTTTGGTGTAGGTTTTGCTATTAATCCATTTATAAGAAACTTTTTGCCAATGGGGAGGGATGGGTCTCTCTGGGTTTCTCTCCCCTGCCAATGTCAAGAAAACGGAACCGCCCTGGATCCTTAGGAAAGCCTAATTTGCACCTGGTGCCTCGATAAACATTGGCCCGTGTATTGTTGGGTGTGTGTCCTTGGCTCCGGCTTTTGATCTCTGGGGGTGTGGCCGTGCACCTTGTTGCTTTTAAAAACAGGAAAACTTCCCATTAGGAGAATTGGCCCTTGGGGGTTCCAATCCGTGTCCCCGGCGAACTCGCAGGTGATTGTGACATTGTTAGCACGCCCCCCACCCCCGCTTTCCAATAATAACCAGCCTGCATTTTACAAATCGATTTTTTCCCCTGTAGTGTGCAGACTGCCAGTCCGGCAACTCTGGAGCCTTCCCCATCCTGTGCCGGTGCAGAGTTAGGAGAGGATCTGGCGTTTGCGGGGGTGGCAGTGGAGGGGGAGGGAAGGGGCTTCTGGCCCATTTTAATTTTCTTAACGATGAGTCCCCCCAACCCCCCTTCCCTCCCTTTGCAAGTAACACGTGGCAACCACGCAGTGGGGCGTTTCTGCATTCCCGGCTCCCCCCCCCCGACCCCCAACGCCTTGGGCCTTTTACGGGATAATCTCGCCCGATTGCCTTCCGCCAACGGAAACAAACGCGGACTCTTGGCAAGACCACCACCTGGAGGGAGTCTCGCAGTGTTGGTTGCTGCCCTCCCCCCAGCTACATTCCTCGCGCTGCGGGGCGGCGACCCGGGGAGGGAGGCGGAAGTAACTGCGGGCGGGAGCCATTGCTGAGCGCGGCGGCCGCCTGTGCCTCCCTGCGCGTGCCCGCGGGCGCGCGGGTGCGCGCGAGCGGCCGAAGGTCGGCGGGGCGGGGCAGGGCAGGGCGGAGCCTGCCGGTCGTCTAGGGGCGGGGCCTGCCGCCGGGGGGGCGGGACCGCGGCGCGGCGCCCAGTGCGCATGGGCGGGCGTCCTCCTCGAGCCCCGCGCTCGTCGTCGTCTCGGTTTCCGCTGCAGGAGGGAGGGGACACGGCCGACCGCTGGCCGCTGACCGCTGGCCGCTGGCCACCGCACGGGCGCCGCCGACATGTCTGAGGAAGAAAGCGATTTCCAGGCGGCAGCGGCAGCGGCAGGGCCCCGGCCAGGTGTGGCACTCTCGAGGAAGCTGCTGGGGGCTGGGGAGGTGGTGGTGGTGGACGACGACGACGACGACGATGACCACGACAACGACGACGACGACGACGACGACGAGCCCATGAAGGTGGAGATGGCCGTGGGTGCCGACGACGACATTAGCTCGAACGAGCCGAGCTTGGCGGTGGCGGCGGCGGCGGCCTTGGCCCCGCTGGCGCCGCTGGACCCGCTGCTGCTGGGCGCCGTGGACCAGGAGAAGTGCCGCAGCATCCGCAAGCAGTACCGGCGCCTCATGCACGTGGTGCAGGAGAGCCGCGACGACATCGTGCACACGTCCAGCGACACGCTGTCGGAGGCGCTCGAGGAGGCCAACGTGCTGTTCGACGAGGTGAGCCGCACGCAGGAGGCGGCGCTGGACGCGCAGTTCCTCGTGCTGGCCTCGGACCTGGGCAAGGAGAAGGCGCGGCAGCTCAACGCCGACATGAGCTTCTTCAACCAGGTGGCCTTCTGCGACTACCTGCGGCTCTTCGTGGGCCTCAGCTGGCTGGAGCGTGGCGGCGGCGGCGGCGGCGACGAGCCCCAGCAGCAGCGACGGCGGCGGCGGCGCCTGGATGACCGCGTGGCCCGCACCTTCTGGGCCCTGCTGCAGCGCGAGGCCGCCTCGTGGCTCCGGCACGCCGAGCCCTTCCGCTTCGTCTTCGGCGCCTTCCAGCCCGAGCGGCCGGCCGTGGCCTTGGCCTCGGCCTGGCCCCGCGCCCGCTCCCACGCCTCGCCGCACGCCGCCCGGAAGGCCCGCCGCCCGTCGGACGAGGTCCGGGCCATGCCCACCAAGCTGCGGCGCCTGGACCTGTACGCCCACCACGAGGCGACGGAGAAGGAGGTGGAGAGGATCCTGGGGCTGCTGCAGACCTACTTCCGCAAGGACCCCGACACGCCCGTGTCCTACTTCGAGTTCGTCGTCGACCCCAAGTCCTTCTCGCGCACGGTGGAGAACATCTTCTACGTCTCCTTCATCATCCGCGACGGCTTCGCCCGCCTCCGGCTGGACCAGGACCGCCTGCCCATCCTGGAGCCCATCAGCCTCAGCCGGCAGGGCGAGGACTGCGACTTCGGGTACCACGGCCGGAAGCAGGGCATCATCTCGCTGAGCTTGCAGGACTGGAAGAATATCGTGGCGACCTTCGAGATTTCAGAGGCCATGATCACCAACTCCTGCTAGGCCCGGGCTTCTGGTCTGTAGCGGGGTGCGGGCCCCGGCCACGCCTTAGGGGAATCTCCAGACGGAAGAGTCAAGATTCAGAGCCAAGCACTTAGCCTGTATCCCCTCTTGTAAGGCGAAACAGTATTTCCTAAGGACTGTTAGAAATGCTTTCATTTGCACACTGTGATTTTTCTTTTCTCTCTTTTTTTTTTTAAATTTTCTAAGATGGTCATGGTCATATATTTAAACAAACCAACTGGCATGTCTGGGGAAAATGTTTGCAGTGTCTTTTTGAGACTGGAGTAATAAAAATCCGTTCTGCAGTTCATAAATGTATTTGGTCATTGGGGGAGAAAAATCGCTTGTAATCTGGGATACTGCTCTGACGTAGGGAATCCAGTCCCTCTCTCGGCTGTCCCGCTTTTGGGGTTCTTCACTAGACCGAGGGAGAAGTGGGTTAGAACAGGTGGAAGAAATGCTGCTCAAAGGGCCTTGAATATGCACGGTTAATGCACCTGTTAAGATAGATGCCTGATCGGTCGCAGGAGGACTCTGGTTCATGGGTGGGTAATAATATAGGACCTTCCTTGATTATGGCCAGCAAAAGTACTAATAGGTGGTGCAGATGCCAGGTGCTGAAAGAGGAATTGGTCAGAGGCAGGAAAGGCATTCTCCTATGTAAGTAAGTCTGTGAAGATCAAATACGTGGAAATTAGGGCACCAGGGAGCCTCAAGATCTATTTGCATGTTAAAACTTTGGCCAAAACTTGCCTCCTGTGTCTTCCTGTGGAAGGTATATTTTGTCAGGTAACTGCAACACATGATCTCCAAATGTGTAGTCACTGTTTTGCCTAGTTTCTTCCCAGGCCGCTGGTTTTCCTTTCTACTAGTACAGCATGTCCTTCAAAGCTCGTAGAGCTTGTCCTTTTTCATTTTGTAACAGCCTCAGATATCCCCAGTTTAAATTTGTATTTCTTAATAGAACTTGAAATCTGGGAACTGCCCTGTATTAGATGGAACATGATGAACCTGCACACTGAGATGGCGGCGCTTCAGGGGCTGGGCTTTGAAATCTGGCAGGGAGCAGATTTGCTCGAATGGTTAAAGTCAATGTTAAATGTTACTTTTGCCTCAAAAAATTTTCGGTGCCTGATAGTTGTAATCCTAGGTAATTAGCGGGCAGACTGCCAACCTGGTTTTTCACTGTGGAAGGTACAGTAGCAAGTGTTTCCACTTTCTTGAGCAGGAAGGTGGTTTGTCCTCAGGCTAATTGATAATTTCATCTCAGCCCATCTATCAATACTGACTCAGTCTTTCTCTAGATTAGCTGGCAAATACTTTTCTAAAAGGACGGGTAGTAAATAGGTTAAGTGTTACAGGCCATGCTACTTCCTATGGCACTGTTTTGGTTCAAAAATGACAACTACCTTGGTACTATCGAAACAAATGAGCCAGGGCTGTTTTCTAATAATTGTCATGTATCTTGAAGTACATTGTTATTAAATCTATCATTAAAAATGGTAAGAATCATTCTGTTAAAAAGAAAAAAGGACAAAAAGGGCCTCCTGAGTTTCCCCCTCATAACTTGCAAACTCCTATGGTGGACGTGCTTTGTAGATGTATGTGAGAAAGCCCTGTGAGCCTCTTGGTACATATCTACAAAGCAGCCCATGCAAAGATGTTCTTTTTTTTGGCGGGGTGGGGGGAGGGGGGGCGGGGGGTGTCACACCCGGCGATGCTCAGGAGTTACTCCAGGCTCTGCACTCAGGAATCACTTCTGGCCGGTGCTCAGGGGACCATATGGGATGCTGGGAATCTTAACACGGGTCGGCCGCATGCAAAGCAAACACTCTACCCGCTGTGCTGTCACTCCAGCCCTGCAAAGATGTTCTTGATCACGTACATGCCCGCTTGACACTTGTGATGCAGAGATGTGTGAGAAGGTTCCTTCTTTGCAGAGCTGCTGGGACTGGGAAATGGAGCCCAGATTGTGTCAGGCACAGGCTCCAGCTAGACTGAAGGACGAGGGGCTCCATCGGAAGAGCCAGGACTCATTCCCCACAGCAGGTGCTGTTGGAATTGTTAGGAAAAAGGAGGCTGTGACGCGGGAACTTTAGGGGGAGAGAGAGAGGTATTGTATTGGAGTCTTTGGGTGTTGGTCAGAGAACCCCCTAACCCTTTAATAAGGATTGCTTTAGTCTTGAGTTCATATACCAGAGTACTAGCAGAGAATTGGCAGGGAAGAAGGCATTTCAGGTGGGGGTGCTGCCCAGGAGTTAGAGCATGGGAAATGCCCATTAAGCTCTCCAGTGCTGTGACCTTGGCCAGATTCTCTTCTTAGGAATGGGGAAAGTAAGCCTACTTAAGAGACTCTTATGACTAGTCACTGTGCTGATGGAAATGATCTTAAACTTAGTAATTTGGGAGTGTAGGACTTCAGTTCACAAAATAAAAGAACAAGACTCCTAAGGATGAGGGCATCATGTTAGACCTCGAAGGATGAGGTGATCATGAAGTCTCTTAGCCTCCAAAGTGGTAGAACAGTGTTTTATTTAATGTGATGCTGGCCCTGCAGCGTGTGTTAGAGCCACGGCCAGGTGTTTTGGGCCAGCAGCGGTGGTGTGTGCTGTAATCCACCAATCAGTGTAAATCGAGGCCAGTGTGATGCCAGTACTTTTAAGAATAACAGTAAGGCAAAACTATTACGAACCTCTGCCCAAAGACTAGGAATAATGTTAGAGGGTGGGGAAGAGCTATCTTTGTGACTTATTCTAATCTTAATTTTTTTTTTTTGGTTTTTCGAATCACTCTCAGCTGTACTCAGGGTTTACTCCTGACTCTGCTCAGAGATCACTCCTGGTGGACTTGGGGGACCAAATGGGGTCCTGAGGATCAAACCCAGGTCTGCTTGCATACAAAGCAAGTGTTGCCACCTTCTGTACTATACCTCTGATTCCTATTCGAATTCAAAATTTTTTTAATTGTTTGATTTTGAGGTCTTCCAAGTGGTGCTCTAAGACTACTCCTGACTGTGTGTTCAGGGTACCTTGCTGTGCCACAGACTGAACCAGGATTGGCCAAGGAAAGGCAAGAGCATAATCCCCAGTAGTCACACTAATTTCATTTTTGAATTTTGGGCCATGTGTGGCTGATTACTGTTTAGCTCCTGGCTCTGTGCTCAGGGATCACTCCTGGCAGGCTCTGGGGACCATATGGGGTGCTGGGTAATAAATCTGGGTCGACCACATGCACGGCAAGAGCTCTACCTGTTGTGCCATCACTTCGGCCCTGCAACAGTAGTTTTCTTACAGTGAACTCTGGGGAATGACGTTGTTGTGAAAGGTAGATGAAAGCGATGTAGAAATGTTTGTAAGCTGCAGACAAGGAAGGGTGTATGTGTGAGTGTATGTACGTGCATGCGTGTACACATACATGTACCTGGCTTCCATAATGCTAAGGCAATACTTGCTTTTCCACACATCATTCATTCTGCCAGGAGTTTTCCAGAGGGCCCCTGAGAGATGTTGCAACAGGTGGAACAAGAAAGAGGTGCACTCTCTTTTATTAAGACTGAGAATTACAGAGATGGAAAACAGTGCCCCTCTCCACACTAAAAGACTTCATTTAACAATGTTTAGAAACCATTATATAAATATTGTAAGCCGTTATAAAGTAAAAGAATTTGGAAGAAATCTTTTAAAAAGGAACTCTAGAATTTTTGATTTCTAAATACTTTTTCTGGATTGTTCTTCAATCTTCTCCCTTGAATACTTCGCTCCTCTGCTGCCTGCTTTTCTTGCCTTTTTCCTCTCTGATGAAGCCTCGGTTCTCTCTTGAACACACACTTCTCCCTTTCTCCTCATGTCTTTTAAGTAAGTTTCAATAAAATCTATCTTGTTTCCAAAAAACCACAACCACCCCATTTTTCCTGTTTTACTGATAGGCAAGTCCTACGTAAATATAAACATAATAAGAGTGTAAAGAAGTCCCGAGAGCCATTTACGGGGAACTGAAGGATAGAGATTTTAGTTTTAAATTTAAATAGGTTGCATTAAGCTGGTCTTTATTATATACACCGTTAGCCTGTTCTCAGAGCTTTCTTTGTCCTTGTCAGGTTGATCTTTCATTTCAAACTGGAACCATAATAAAAACCCAGACCTGCAACAGAATTGCAGTAGAGAGTAGATTTTAAACATCGGGCTAGGGAGTATGCCACTTTGCGGCCTGACAACACATTTTCTTTTGTTCTAGCCGGGGGGAGACGGGTCTAAGAGCAGACCGTTTCCATGCAGACAGAGATACTTTCCCGGCACTGTGAAGGACACAAAGATAGAATGAGGTTGAGATTCAGTGCTTCAGTTCTTTTTCTTGAAGGGCTTCTGCTGCTTTTAGGAACTCTCTCCAACTAGCAGGTTAGCCCTCGGCTCCTAGAAGCCGGCTGAGGAGGAGTAGCGCTGTTCCTGCAGCCGCGTTGGTGCTCTGAGCGTAACGGACTTGTTGCCCGATTGTTTCCCCCACAGTGCCTGACACTGGAGGAGGAACTGCCGCCGTCATGCCAGTGGATGAATACTGGCTGTGCTTACCCGCCTCTCATGTCAGACCTTTTGTGCAGATGGTCAGGGTGACGTGGTCCTTCCCTCACTGTTGCTGGTTCCCGGTGGCTCACCCTTCTGTCTCTGAGCCATGCTATGTGCCTGCCGTGCCGCCCCGGGGCAGCCCCAGTGCCGACCTTCCTCGTCCGCCTTCCTCCACCGTCCCCCTCGGCACACCCCAAGCACCCCATTCTTCTGCTGGTCCCCCACGTCCACCCCTGGCGTGCGATTGTAGTCAGGAGAAAATTGTGCAGACTGGCATGGTAAGTGTGGGGCTCTTGGACGGTGTTTAAAAGCTTTTCATTGTGCCAGTTAGCGTTTCCACGCGTGATTTCACGCGAGCACAGCTTTTAATAGAAGATAACGAAAGGTACGTTACCCAGTGTTCCCGACCGCTATGCAAGGGAATGCATGTGTAATAAAAACTTAAGAGGAATAACGCTTTAAAAATAATGAAGCATCACTAACACCCAAGAGTGGCTGAGATTAGTACCAGGAGGTTTGCTCCATGGCTTGGAGGCTAGCCACACATGCTAGGGGAAAAGGGAACTCAGATAGAGAAGAGAGCACCAAATAAAGGGTGTTGGGAGGATATTCCCAGGATGGGAGAAGCATGCTGAAAGTAGACTATAGACCAAACATGATTGCCATTCAGTGCCTCTCTTGCAAACCACAGCACCCAAAAGGAGAGAGAGAACAAAAGGGAATGCCCTGCCATAGGGGTGGGGTGGGATGGGGTGGGGGTGGGGGGTGGGAGGGATACTGGGATCAGTGGTGGTGGAGAATGGGCACTGGTGGAGGGATGGGTACTCGATCATTGTATAACTGAAACCCAAGCACAAAAATTTGTAAGTCTACAACTGTGCCTCATGGTGTTTCACTAATAAACATTAAAAATAAAATAAAATTAAAAAAATGAAGCATCTAACACTTTCATTATAAGTAAATGCCAAGGGCATGAAAACTAAATACTAAATATATTGCAGGAGGATTTGTGCACAGGTAACTAAAGAAATGAACTTTTAATAGTCATCCTGACTTAAAAGGCCTTGCCCTGGCTGTCGCTTTCACATTCAACTTTTCAGACAGGTTTATGTCAGTGATTTTTGGTCTTAATTTGCTGTGTCAGCTGAACGGTGTGGGAAAAATCTTAAATGATCTGTTAATGTGTTGACATTGCTCTACACCAGTGTCCTATTTTAATGAGACCTTGGCTGACTGCTTATTTCAGTCTTGACTAGACCATAGTGAGCGCTGATTTTTCGGGAGGGTCACGAAGACTGCTGATGGAGTGTGCATCTGAATATGGTCCCCTTCCCTAAGGACCCAGGACGGGGTGGCCAGCACTGCTTTGGCACTTTGCAGCTCCGGGGTCAAGCTCAGCGCCTCACCCGTGCCCTGAGTGCCTACTGAGTGACTTGGCCATCATCTGAGACCTTTCTCACTGCGGATCTCAAATAGGGCTATTAGGGTCTCCTCAGCCCGTGTGGGCAGCACCCGTGGTACCTTAGGGCTCTGTGCATGGAGGCAAGCCCCCTGAGCCATCTTCCCTGTGCGTCTTCCCAGGCATCACTTTGGCAAGACTACTGTGACCGCCTCAGCATGTGCGATGGCACCGGGGTTTGAACTCTGTGCCTTGTATGCCTGCCAGGAAGATGTTTTAAACCCATGAGCCTTCTTCAGGCTGATTAAAAGGCCGACTGGGAAAATGCAAGGACAAAGTGTTGGCAGTGGACGTCACTCGGGCCTAAGTTGATTTTGTGGAGGTGTCAGTTGCTGCTGCTGTAGATTGACAATAGCTGTCAGTAGATTCCCACGAAGATCACTAGAAGGAGCGATGCCATTTGTGTATCTGTGGCAAGGAACTCTTCCTTTGATGACTCCTTTTGTTTCCTTTTAAAAAGATTCTCTGGGCTGGAACAACAGTACAGCAAGTAGGATGCTTGTCTTGCACGCGGCTGACCCCACTTCTATCCCTAACACCCCGTATAGTCCCTGAGCATCTCCCCTCCCCCCATGAGTGATTCCCGTGTGCAGAGCCAGGAGTAAGCCTCGAGCACAAAAACAAACAAAAATAGATTTTTTTCACGCGTGGTATATCTGCACACCAGAGTCACAAATGTCAACGCCGTTGTCAGACACATTCTCTGACAGCATTTTTCAGAAAAGGTTTCTCTCAGAACTTTCCAGCCTGCTTTTGAAGTTAAATTATGTTCCCTTTTATTGATTGTCTTCTTCAGGGGCATCAAGACAGCGTCCTTCAAAAGCCGACCATGAATGGCTCTGACAACCATCCCAAGTCCTACGACTATGACCTCATCATCATCGGCGGGGGCTCGGGAGGACTGGCAGCTGCCAAGGTAAGACTTCTCCGCGCAGTCTGGGCTCTGGCGGGCGGGCGTCACTGTCCCAGAGGAGCCCGAGGTTCTCTGGGATTTGATTGAGCCTCTTGTGATGTTTGGCACATTAATATGGGCAGGTCAGGTTAAGGGAACACTTTACAGTCATGATACTAGGCCTGGTATGTAGGACACATTTCATTTATGTGTCATAAAATTTGGTTGACTCTTCAAGGGTAATACGGGTGTTGTATGAGAATGGTGTGAATTTAGTATATTACTTATAAATTATGTGGTTTTTTAATGGTGGCTTTTTCTATTCATACCCTTCCTCACCAGTTGAAAGACGGACAGCAAATGGATTTCTTTTGGGTGGGGGGCGAGGGGAGGTTGCAGGTGGGGAGGTCAGCACACCCAGCAATGCTTAGGGCTTACTTACTCTTGGCTCTTGTGTTCAGGGTCATTCCTGGCTCTGTACTCGGGACACATGGGGTGCTAGGTATTGAGCGCAAGTCAGGCATGTAGCAAGACAAGTGCTTTACCCAGTGTACTATCTTTCCAGCCCTGCAACTAAGTTCATTTAAAAATTGTTTATGGGTCCAGAAGAATGATTATAAAGGGCTTTGTGGTCAAATGGCATGCCTAGCCGAACAGCACTCCATGGCCCCCTGAAGATCCCTAGGAGAGGGCCAAAGCGATAGTACAGTAGGTAGGGCGTTTGCCTTGCACGAGGCTCACCCGAGTCTTTGAACGATAGACTCAGTCCTCGACAGACTCAGTCCAATGAAATAACTTTCTGAGACCTGATTATTAATCCGAAAAGTTTATTTTTTGAGAAAGAAAGGGGTACTCTGCATTGTGAACTTGTGACTTGTTATCACTTCCTGAAGATAAACTTAGAAACCCTGTCAATAAGCATCAGCTTTTCTGTTGTCTTTCATATGACAATTTTACGATACCTGACAGTGTCAGGAGAAAGATTTCTTCTTGGAAATGGTGTTTGGGAATGGAATTAGCAAAAAGTACATTAAAAACAGCTCCACAGGCTGGAGCATGTGCTTTGCATGCAGGAAGTTGGAATTCAGTCCCCAGAACTGCTTTGGTCATCTGAGTGCCACCCGGAATGATCCCTGAAACACCTTTCATTGTGACCCAGACCGTACAGGACATAGGTTGAATCTAGGGTTGTAGACTATCAGTAAATATATTTTATTAGTCAGTTACTACTGGCTTAGAATTGGTCATATGTCTTCCAGATTGCATCATTTATTACAGTTTGGAATTATATAGGAGAATTTTAAGGTCTCCAGCTGATGAGCCTTGCAAGTTTTATAACTAGAATCTGTTATTTTCAGGCTGCTATTAGGACGGTCACTTAGTTTTTGTCTTGACTTGTACCAGTGAAATCCCCAGGTACTAGAAACTGGCTATACTTTAAGGCGTTATAACCTTGATAAGAATGGGGACTTGAGCAACCCTCTGTTGGTCTGATCACGTTAACATTCACAGCTCATTTTAATACTTCTATTTTCCAGGAGGCAGCCAAATATGACAAGAAGGTAATGGTTCTGGATTTTGTCACTCCAACCCCTCTTGGAACTAGATGGGGTAAGCATCTAACGAGTAGAAATAATTACCATTGTTGTCCTTGTGGGGACCATTCTCTTTGGTGCTCAGGGGCCTGACGCTGGGGCCTTGCCTATGCCGGGCGTGTGCTCTGCATCCCTGGCCCCAGAGGAGCAGCTCTAACGGTGCAAGGTAGATAAAGAGTCCTCTTGTCTGGCATGGGCAATGGCAGCTGAAAAGAGTTGCACAAGGTTAGGTTGGCACAGAATACAAATGTCAGGTAATAACGGAATTTTCTAGACAAAGAGGAGGAGCCGGATCTAACCAAAGCATTGTGGGAAGCCCTGGAGGAAGGGAAGGACAGGACACATAGGTGTCAAGATGACTTTGGCCCTGGAATTGAGACAAAAACAGGATGCCCGGCTAACTAAGAAAAGATGTTTTTGCACAGCTCATCCCATTCAGCCGAGACTTACTTGGTGTCAGTTTTGTGTCAGGCATGTTTGTGGGCTGGCCCTGTCCTCGCTGGCCTGTGGAGTGACGCTCGCTACTGTTCTTGGGGGGGGGGGGCGGGGGGCGGGGGGGGCGGGGGCGGGCTGGTGTTTCCTCTGGCGTCCACTGCGATCTCACATTCCTGCTCTAGCCTTTTTGATCTTTTCCTCATCCACTGAGTATTTTTATTTTAATGGAGATAGGCTATCATCGTATTTTTTCTTTTCTTCTTTTTTTTTTAAGTAGATGATTTATAAAGTTACTGATAATTGAAGTTTTAGGCCTGTAAGCCTGTAATATTTTTAAACACCAATCCCACCACCAGTTCCCATTTTCCATCCCTCCCCTACGTCAATCCCCATTTGTGTGCGCCTGACAGGCACATTATGGAGTTTCAGTGGTTGCAGCTTAGATCTCCTATTTTCATAGTTGTTATGTCTGTTTTTTTAGATATAGAACTCTTCTGCACACCCATGTCACCAGTATAAGTGATGCCTGCTTACCCATTACTTCCCATTTTCTTCTTCCCCCCTTTGATTTCTTCCTTGTCTGTCCTTCTTTCTAAATACTGGGGTCAAGGCTCATCTAAATACCCCTTTGCTACAGTAGGTTTCTTCATTCACTCTTCTATAGACCACAGATAAGTGAGGTCAACCTGTGGTTTTCTGCTTCTGGCTTACTTCACTCTACAAGAAACCTTCCAGTTCCAGCCATGTGGCAGCAAAGTGCATGATTTCATTGTTCCTTGCAGAGTATTCCATTGCGCATATATACTGCATCTTCATAAGCCGGTCACCTGCCATTGGACGCCTAGGTTGATTCCATATCTTAGCTATTGTACTCAGTGCAGCAGTGAATAATGGTATCACCATGTTCTCTAAGCTTAAAACAAAAGGAATATAAAACCTTTCCATTTCCTGGCATGAATTCTCTTACGTGAACTGTAGAAAACTGTGGATTATCCTAAAGGGGCCTGGGGAGATAACTGAACGGGCTGAGCATATGCTTTGCATGCAGGAAGCCGGGGTTCAACCCCTGGCACTGCATGGTCCCCTGAGCACACTGGGAGTGACCCTCAACCCCAGCACCACAGGATTTGGCCTCCAGACAAAAAAAAAAAAGTATTTGTGCCAGATTGTCTATGTAGTTCCAGATCCACTGCAAAACAGACCAGGCCAGCTTTATTAACCAGCCCTTTGTCAGCTCTGCTCGTAGATTGAGCAGCAGGTGTGAGACGGAGCACAGAGTCAAATGCCAAAACCAGGCGTCTTTATCAGCCATCAATTCCGAATCTTCGACGGATGCGGAATTTGTGGTGTTTTGTTTTAGGAAGGTGTCACTGTGTTTGAGTACCTCAGACTCTCTACTCTTAGAAATGTCAGTGAGATTTACACACAGTTAGATACAATAGTGTAAACGTGAACATCCACACACTTGCCCCCACGAAGTGAATTTGAGTGTTTCTCACAGCAGTCGCTGCTGACGCGTTTCTTTGGAAGGTGGGCCTTGAGCTAGTTCCTCCCTGTTGCTGCAGGTCTCGGCGGAACATGTGTGAACGTGGGCTGCATCCCCAAGAAGCTCATGCATCAGGCTGCTTTGCTGGGCCAAGCCGTGCGCGACTCTCGCAACTACGGCTGGGATATTCAGGAGACAGGTATGGGGGACAGCTGATCTGCTCTGGGCGCCTGTGGGGTTTGGGCTGCAGTCCTGAATGCACCATCCATCTTCATGGAGTCAGCGAAGGACCCTGCAAGTGATTTTATTATTATTATTTTTTTATGGTTAAAATCAATGTCGTTATCCTGGGTCAGAGAGGTACTTAACTATTATGGGGACCATCTTTCTGTAACAGAGCTAAAGTTTTTTTCCAGTCAGTTCTCCTGTGGTGTTTCACAAGGAAGCACAAATGACATTTGCTTTCTCTAGAAACTGCATTAAAATCTCTTCCAAGAAGTCTTTTGTGAACTGATGTTTTGGGAATGGGTCAGCTATTGTGGGAGGTAATGGTTAGTTTTTGTTGGATTTAAAAAACACAATTAGGATACCCTAGAAACTTTGAAGAGGGACTTGTTGGCTTTAAAGGCATTAAGTACACGAGGTTGGAGAGATAGTACAGTGGGTAGGGTGTTTGCCTTGCTCTCTACCGACCGAGGTTCAATGTTCAGTGTCCGTATAATCCCCTGAGCACATTCAGGAGTAGTTCTTGAGTGCCCAGCCAGGAGTAACCTCCGAGCACCACCGGATGTGTCCCAGAAACCAAAAAACAAAATTATGTTGAGCTAAATTTGCCAGTGGGACCTTGGTTTGTCAGTCTTTGGTCCTTTATATAAACCCAAGCCTGGCTACAATATCCTTGGCCTGACCCAAAAATTCATTCATCACTCCCCCACTCCCATCCCACTCCTGCAGTCAGTATTCACAATCCCAAAGTAAAGTTCTCCTTTCTAGCCGAGGAAAAGAAAGTTTGTGTATAATTATTGTAGTCTTCGAGCTCACCAGGAAACCTAGCATTATGGAATAGATGGGGGTGAATTTTTGAGAACGAAAAGTTGTTTAAATGAAGCACTTGCCCTTTTAGACTACAACTCCCCATTCTTTGACTTCAAGCTGTACAGTTTCTGAGCAGAATGCTCTGCCAGGCAGTTGAAATGCTAAATTCTTGTTTTTGGTCTTGTTTTTCTCGTGCAGTTAAACATGACTGGGAAAAAATGACAGAAGCTGTGCAGAATCACATTGGCTCACTCAACTGGGGCTACCGAGTGGCTCTGCGGGAGCGCAAGGTCACCTATGAGAACGCGTATGGCCAGTTTGTTGGTCCTCACACCATCAAGGTACTCGTGGCACAGCCTAGGGAGACGGGTTTGCTTTGCTCTTAAAGCTGGCTGGGTGGGTCCGTAGAGATAGCTCAGAGGGTTGGATCCATTGCACCTCATCGTCTCCTAGTACTGCTAGGTGCATGTGGCCTCCAAACAACACAACTAAGGAAAGCAAAACCAGAATGGCACACGTTAAAAAGTCTGTGAATGCCTCAGTTTGGCAGGGATGTAGTGAGAAAGGAACCCTCACCCACTCGTGGTGGGAATGTCATCTCGTTCAACCTCTGTGGAAAGCAACTCTGAAAAATTGGAATAGAATTCCCGTATGGCCCAGCAAAACCACTTCTTGGCATCTATCCCCCCCAAACACAAAAACATTGCTTTGAAGGGATATAAGCACACCTATGTTCATCACTGCATTTAGTACACTAACCAGGATATGGAAATAACTCAAATGCCCAACTATGGATGAATGGATCAAGAAGTTGTAGTGTGTTGTTTTTTAGAGCAGCACAGTATTCCATTTTGTATGGAATACTGTGCTGCTCTAAAAAAGAACAGAATCCTGCAATTTGACGCAACATGGATGGAGCTTGAGGATAATCCTGAGTGAAGCCGGAAGGAAAGGGATAGACACAGAATGATCTCTCTAATATGTGTGCCTTAAAGATACATAGCAAAGTAGCAACAGAAGTTCAAAGGCTTTACAATGAGAGAACTGATCCACACAACTGAGTTGTGGGTGGGGGAGGTGAAAGGGAGAGGGACATTCGGGTCCTTGAGGGAGGGAGGTGGGTACACCAGCGATGAGTATGGTGTTGGAATTATGTGCATAGGAAACCATCCTTAACAGTCCTGTAACTTGGGCTTATACTTATACTTATACTATAGGTTGGGCATTTGCCTTGCGCATGGCCAACCTGGATTTTGATCTCTATCATCCCATGTCATCCACCCAACAGTGCTTGGAGTAATTTCTGAGTAAAGAGCCAGGAGTAACCCCTGAATATCACCAGGTGTGGTCCGAAAACTAAACCAAAAAACCCACAACTATAAATCTCAGAGCCTCAATAAAAAAAAAAATAATTTTTTAAATTTCGAGTGGAATGAGAAATTGTTTATCCTAATGGAAATCATAACCACTGTGACCGCCGCCATTTCCTTGTTTCATTTCTTTGGGGGACTTTCTCCCATGCCACGTGGCAGCACTGGATTTGAGGCTCCACTCATTCCTGGCACGGACCCTGAGCAAGTCCTTTGCTTCAGAGTCTTGGTTACAGCCTTGCTGCGTGTACCTGACGAGTAAATTGTTGGACACTGTGGTGAATAGCCTTCTAAACTCTAAAGGATAGTTCTTTTATGGATTTATTGGTTCCTTTGCAGGCAAGAAATAACAAAGGCCAAGAAAAAACGTATACAGCGGAGAGATTTCTCATTGCCACTGGTGAAAGGCCACGGTATTTGGGAATCCCTGGTGACAGAGAATACTGCATCAGCAGGTAAGAAAGATGATTGCCGCAGGGAAAGAAAAAAATCCATGGTGGACTTGTGCTTTTGCTTATTTCTTCAAACCTATTTTAACCTCTTCCATGGAACTTCAGATTTTTTTTTTTTAAGCTGTGAAGAGAGCAGATTGGGAAGAAGAAAAACTGTTTTACCCAAGAGAACATTAAAATTTAAAAATAATGGGGGGCTGTGTAAACACAAAAAGAGGGCAGCAGTGGTCTATCTCCCGCTGCCTGTGTTCGGTAGTCTCAGGCCGTTTTCCCAACGTCAGGGAGATTGATGGTGATGGGCAGGTGAAGGAAGGAAACGAGGGCCAGGCTGGTTGGTCTTAGTAGCAGTTTATTACAAGGAAGTTTATCCCATAAAAGAAATTTATGTTATGGAGGGCCCACGTTCTCTCAAGCACGTATCCTCCCAGGTTCCTTCAAACCGACCCCTGTTCTCTCAGGTCTGTCTCTCCCTTGAGAGCCCCGAAATCTCCTTATATAGATCATGATACCTCTAAAGGGCACAATGCAGTGATGTCATCAAAAGGAGTTACAGAAAGAACATTGAGGCAGCAAAACATGCATTGTTTCATTACTTCTGCCAGCAAGTAATCTTGGCCTCAGGAAAGAAGACACAAAACCAAAACTGAACCTTTCTTGGGCTAAAAGCACTTGGATTTGCATTCCAAAGATTCCACTTAGAATCTACATCTCAAAGACAAGAATCTGACCTTTGCACCCCAAAGACTAGTCTGGCTAGAGCTGGGAATCAACATCCCAGAGATCAGGCCTGGCTAGCACCTGAGATTTCTGTGAGAAAAGGGAAACTGCCTCTTACAATATACTGAAATTATTTACTGAAGGCAGTTTGAAGGGGAGAAATGTTCAGCCTCATCCAAACTAGTCAGGACACATGGGAAAGCCACTTTTAGGACAGATTCTCGTTTAGCAGATCAACACACCTTAGAAAGGAATCCCCTGGGTGTTTTCTCCTCTCCTTGTCCAACAAACATATAAGTACACATAATATAAATCATTTTGTATGGACACAGTAGGAAATACCTTAAGCTTACAGAGTTGCTCTCCTAGGGCCATCTCGATCTCAGACTATGGTGCTCCGGCCAGATAGTCTTTCCTATCCCTAGCAGGGTCCTAGTCTTGTCGTTACTTTTGGATCATGACAGCATTTGTCTATGTTTATGATCAAACGCCTAACTTATAGTTAAGAATCGTGGCGCTTTGGTCTGGCCCATCTCGATGCCAGGGTAGCACCTAGCTTACCTGCTTGCCCTGGTTCCATCCAGTCCCTCGTCGGGACCCTGCTTTTGGGGGCGCTAGGAAGTGAGGGCAACTGAGGCTTAAGTTGAGAAAGCAGATGCCCGGGAATGAGTAATATTCAAAGCCAATTAAATCCTGAGTTACAAAGCATAATATTAATTGTCTTCCTCTATCTATACAAAAAGGACACTGCATTAAAGTAAGCTATTCAAAAGACATAAGGAGAGGAGAAAGGCAATATTAACTTACAATACAAGTTCAGTATCCTAGAAGGATCTGACCTTACAAATTAACAGTTTCTGATTAGGGGAAAAGCTGATTAACTGGTTGGGGAAGAGAGCACAAAGAAGTGGTTACAGATAAACAAAGGAATGGGAATGACTTCAGGGAGCACTGTGATGGGTGCAACCTGATAAACCTAAGCTCCTTGTATCCCAGCAGGGGGCCACATCTGGTGGTGCTCAGGACATATTCCTAATTTAGGATTTAAGCAATCCTGCCAGGGCTTGCTGCAGTATATGGGGTACAGGGTTGGTCTGGGTTGGCCTCATGCAAAGCAAGTGCCTTGCTCTCTGTACTGTTTCTCTGGCCCCCATTTAAAATTTCTGTAAAATGTATTACTGTTACCAATATTTTGGTTTGGGGGCCACGCCCAGTGGTACTCATGCTTACTTCTGGCTCTGTGCTGAGGGATCACGCCTGGCAAACTCAGGACCAGATTAGGTGCCGGGGATTAACCTGGGTTCTGCCGTGTGCAAGGCAAGCACCCTCTTTGCTGTACTATCATCCAGCCCCCCCACCCTGTTTATAAAAGTTTAAACTGCAAATGTTTACCATCCAGAGCTCCTATCACTGCTGCTCCATAGATACATTCCTTTAATATTTGTATTTGAGGCTGGAGTGACAGCACAGTGGTAGGGCATTTGCCTTGCACGAAGTCAGCCCAGCCGAGCCGGGTTCGATTCCTCCGCCCCTCTCGGAGAGCCCAGCAAGCTACTGAGAGTATCTCGCCTGCACGGCAAAGCCTGGCAAGCTCCTCGTGACATATTCAATATGTCAGACACAGTAACAATAAGTCTCAAAATGGACACGTTACTGGGCCCACTCGAGCAAATCGGTGGGTGAACAAGGGGAGGACAGCGTTTGTTTGGTTTTGTTTGTTTTGATGTGATATTTGGATTTACATATGTTTATGTGTTATTTACGGTCTGAAACCAGGTCAGTATTTGCAGACATTTTTGTAAAGCAAATGATTCATATGTTCATGGGCCCCCTCTTCCCAAGCGGAGAGCCTCTGCGTCCAGCTTTTACACTTGTTCTGTGGATTCCAGAGAGGCCAGTCCTCCAAATCTGATGGTGGGGTACTCAGAGTTAGCTGTTCCCTGTTGTTGAGTCGGCTGGTGTAGTGGATCGGGACCTTCTGAAATAAGTCAGCCGTGAAGTTTGGCCCCCTGACTGCTGTGCATCAGATGATAAAACTGGCGACGAGAGAGTTCAGAGGTTTTAAAACTTGAGGTTCTACAAGTTTTATGTCAGGTCATTGATCACTGCGTGCCTGTGGGTCGCTCCAGTCATTGCCGTCCAGGTGGTCTCCCACCTCACGCCCCATCAAGACTGTGAGCGTTCACACAGCTAGTAAACATGTTTCCTTATTAACTACAATGCCAGTTAAAACTTTTTTTTTTAAGTACAAGTACACCGAAGACAAAACCCATTTCTCAAGAAAGCTTTTATGGTTTTACTCATCTTGTCTATTCTTCATAGGATTAGGAGATTTGGTCAGGTTCTTTGTATAGTTGGGTTTTGTACTACAAAAGTGACACGGTGAAGGATTATCACTTCCCTCCCGCACCCCCACTTTCTATAATGAATGTGCAGACGATGACACACAATATGTTTTTCACCCCAGAAGGAAGCGGAGTGGTGGATTGAGAGTGGGCTGGGCTGTTGGCTTGTAGGTGAAGTTTGAGCCCACAAATTGAGGCTCACAGGAGTCGTACACAAGCATTTTGTTGGACAGTGAGTTGTGCGGAAGTCAGAAGTTTCAGGGGTAACTGCTTGGCCAAACTACCTTGAGCTCCTCCCCGAGCAAATGAGTGGCATGGTGGGGAGCGTGTCCAAGACTTGTAAAGACTTAATCAGTGTGGGACTGGAGCGATAGCACAGCGGGTAGGGCGTTTGCCTTGCACACGGCCGACCCAGGTTCGATTCCCAGCATCCCATATGGTCCCCCGAACACCACCGGGACTAATTCCTGAGTACAGAACCAGGAGTAACCCCTGTGCATTTCCGGGTGTGACCCAAAAAGAAAAAAGAAAAAAGACTTAGTGATAATGGGTGCGATTGAATATTTCCAAGACTTATAAAGACTTGTGATAATGTGTGTGATTGGAGGTTTCTAATCTTGTAATTTTTTTAAATTGTGCATCTCAAAGCAAAGTGTATATTCAAGTTTTAATAACAGCACTTTATAGCACAGCGGGTAGGGCGTTCGCCTTACAAGAGGCCAACATGGCCGACCCGAGTTCGATTCCTCCGCCCCTCTCGGAGAGCCCGGCAAGCTACCGAGAGTATTCGATATGCCAGACACAGTAACAACAAAGTCTCCAATGGAGACGTTACTGGCCCCTTTCGAGAAAATCGATGATCAACGGGAGGGAAAAAAAAATAATAATTTGAATACACTGATTTTTTTTTTCAAGAAGGAAATCGATTTAAAAATACTTTTCTTTTAAAAATAGGTCTGTGTTCAACTATAGATTTCTCCCCCCCATGCTCTGATCATATTTCCTTTGTTTTGATTTGGGAAGAAAATACCATTTCTGTTGGCATGAAATGCAAAATCTGAGTTGTTTCATTTTTTCTTAAAAAAAGATCCCAGTACAGAACTTTTTAATGAAAAATAAATTAAGGCATTAAGTGTACAACACTAAATATTGGCCAACTATTGGTATTCACTTTCTTCCCTAGCTCTCCCAAGGAGAAGCTGAATTGAATCTTCAGCAGAATAATCCTTAGAAATACTTTATAAGCAAAATGAGAGCTTTTGTTTACATAGTTTTTGGATTTTGCTGTTCCTAATTTTATTCTGAAACTCAATTTCATCCCACACCATAATTACCATATTTAACTTTGTAATGCACAGTTTGTATGTGATTCAGCATAGCAGTAGTATAAAATCTTGTAATTTTTAAAGTTACAATTTCATGAACAGTTTGCCCTTAAAAAATTTTTTTTTTCCCTTTTCAGTGATGATCTTTTCTCCTTACCATACTGCCCGGGGAAGACTCTGGTGGTTGGAGCATCCTATGTTGCTTTGGAATGTGCTGGGTTTCTCGCCGGCATTGGTCTAGATGTCACGGTTATGGTGCGGTCCATTCTTCTTCGAGGATTTGACCAGGACATGGCCAACAAAATCGGTGAACATATGGAAGAGCATGGTGTCAAGTTTATCAGAAAGTTCGTGCCAATACAGGTAAGTGGGGTTGCCGGTACCTTTGTTGATCTGGTGCTCTTGCTCAGACTTGGGGAAGTCAGTTGGGCTGGGTGAAGGGGCAGTGTGACTCTGAGCATTCCCAGGAGTCCAGCCTCTCTGTACCTGCAGCCCAGCGCCCCCTGCAGTCTGTGATTGAAAACCACTGTGACAAAGGGTTAAAAAGGATGCTCTTACATGAAAAGTATCATGTTAAGCGAAATGAGTCAGAAAGAGAGGGATAGACACAGAAAGATTGCATTCATCTGGGGAACATAAAGTAACAAAATAGGAGACTAACACCAAGAATGGCCGAGATTAGTACTAGGAATTTTGCTCCATGGCTTGGAGGCCAGCCACACATACTAGGGGAAAAGGGAGCCCAGATAGAGAAGGGAGCACCAAATAAAGGTGTTGGGAGGATCCTCCCAGGATGGGAGAAGCATGCTGAAAGTAGACTATAGACCAAACCTGATTGCCACCCATTGCCTCTTTTGCAAACCACAACACCCAATAAGAGAGAGAGAGAACAAAAGGGAATGCCCTGCCACAGAGGCAGGGTGGGTTGGGGGAATGGGGGTGGGAGGGATACTGGGATCCATGGTGGTGGGAAATGGGCACTGGTGGAGGGATGGGTCATTGCATAATTGAAACCCAATCATTGCATAATTGAAACCCAAGCACAAAAATTTGTAAGTCTACAACTGTACCTCATGGTGTCTCACTAATAAAAATTAAAAATTTTTTTTAAAAAGTCCAGAAACCAAAAAAAAAAAAAAAAAAAGAATGCTCTTAATTTCTCAGCTCTGTCATTCCCGTGGGGACTAAAGAGCTGAGGTTCTACCTTTCAGGTTCCTTCCTTTCTTCTCTCTTAACTTTCTTCCCTTAAGTTCTGTCTTTGTGCTTTGTGTCTTCGCGTCTATCAGTGATTCAGATGAGAGTTCAAGGCCAGGCTGATAGTATTTTTTCTTTCCAGAACCATTTTTCTTTGAGGCACTATATATAATCAGCAGGTGCTTCTGGCTTCCCAGGAACGGTCTCCTTTTGTTACATGGACTGGACTTCTTTTTTTTTTCTCATTTAACGACTTGCCATCTTTTCTGCTCATTTAATAGTTAAAGAAGTGCACAAAATATCCTAATTTATATTCTGTACACAGCCGCAAATAAGAGTCACAAGATCAGTCACTGAATATTTCGTTTCTTTTTGTATTGTTTTGTTTTGGGGCCACACTAGGCAGCACTCAGGAGTTATTTCTGGCTCTGCATTCAGGAATCACTCCTGGCAGTGCTCAGGAAACCTTATGAGATTCTGGAGATCAAATCCAGGTTGGATGTGTACAAGGCAAGTGCCCTACCTGCTACTATCACTCCGGCCCTTGGTCACTGCATATTTTACATATTTGAGACAAAAACTCATGAGTGCACTCAAGGACGTGAAACCATTTTGTTCACCTTTAGCTGGATTTTTTGTTTGTTTGTTTTTTGAATGAAACTTGTTGACTGAAGCCTTTTCCGGGGGTTAAAGCTTATGACTCAGTGCTGCTAATGAGTGGTTTGGATTAAAATATTGCTCTGCAGTTTTTTATAGAAGACTTCACGTGAATTATTTAACCTCTCTGAGCCTTTCTTTTTCTTTCTTTCTTTCCTTTTTTTTTTTTTTTGTTTGTTTTTGGGCCACAACTGGTGTTCAGCACTGGCTCTATACTTAGGGATCACTTCTGGCATGCTTAGGAGACCATATGGTGTCAGGGATTGAACCTGGGTCTGCTGCATGCAAGGCAAGCACCCTACCCACTGTACTATCACCAGCCCATGCCTCTTTCTTTTATAAAATGAGGACGATACTAGGTCTGTCTTTGAGTTTCCTCTGAGGATTGCATTGGCTTGCACTCAGAAGGGTATTAGAACAGTGCCTGGGATGGAGTCTAAACTGAATGTTTTCATACTTCTTTTCAGAGTTAGGTAGATTTCCTGGAAGTTACTGGGGACCTGTTTCTCTCTCCCTCCCTCCCTCCCCTCCTCCCTTTCTCCCTTCCATCCTTCCTTCCTTCCATCCATCCATGAATTGCTGTGAGCTATAGTTGCAGACTCAACTTTCATGATTGTGTTTCAGTCATAACAATGATCGAGTAGTCATCCCTCCACCAGTGTCCATTCTCCACCACCAATGTTCCCAATATCCCTCCCGCCATTCCCCTTCCCCCCCATCACCCCTACCCCCCCACCCCCCACCGCCTCTGTGGCAGGCACATTCCCCTTCACTCTCTCTCGCCTTTTGAGTGTTACGGTTTGCAATACAGGTACCAAGTGGCTTGCTGGTTTTTCTTGAGGCAGTATCTGTGCGTGGCATGCCCGAAGACTGTGATTAGCAAACTGCATTTCTGTGTGGGGGCTCTCCTGGAGGACATCAGGGAATTCTCCGTGAGAGAAACTCTTGTCTGCGCGGAGTAGCTTGCTGCATGTCTAGGACACCCTGGACATGCTTATTCCCTTCGGCAGGCAGAGAAGGGGTGTTGCCTGCTATAAATGGGCAAGGAGGAGAGGGCTCTACAGAGGGGGGAGGAGCACGCTGTTTTCCTCCCTTCTCTAGGGGATGGTGGCTGGGGTGGCACCAGGGCTGAAGCCAGGTCAGGGTGAAGCTCACCAGAGGCCTCACACGTGGTTCCCGTGCCCCATAACACTTGGGCCAGAACTCAAGCTGGGCTCTCCCCTGGCTCCCGGGAACGACAGCAGCACCCCCATTCCCCACCCCTCTGGGGAGCTGGCTCAGCGCAGGGGTGGTGCTGGCTGGTGCCTGAAGCCTCCTGCTGGCTAGGTGAGGCCTCCACGGAGACTTGCCCCTAGGACCCCCTCAGACAGCCTTCAGACAAAGAGTGTATCTGCAAAAAGAGTGTATTCCAGGGGGAGTCGAGGTCCTCGTGATGTGTAGAAATAGTTCCAGGCAAATCGTAAAGGAGAGGAGAAATTGAGGTGGTGGAGGCCCTTTTCTAAAAAAAAAAATTTACTTTCAAGTAGGAAGAAAAAGCCATAACTGTTGCTCTAATTTCAGAATTGAATTTGATTAGATAACAAAGCTCCAATATTAGAATCAGTAGCACTGTAGCACTGCCCTCCCGTTGTTCATCGATTTGATCGAGCGGGCCCAGTAACGTCTCCAATGTGAGACTTGTTGCTACTGTGTTTGGCATATCGAATACGTCACAGGTAGCTTGCCAGGCTTTGCCATGCGGGCGAGATTAGATTAGAATCAGTAGGTATAAAAAAAAAGTCAGTTCATATGAACATTGTTGTACTGATTGCAGGGTTGTTGGGTTGGATTAAGAATTTATTAAGCTGGGGAAGGAGTGATAGTACAGCGGAGTGAGCGTTTGTCTTGCACGTGGCTGACCCAGGTTCAATCCCCAGCATCCCATAGGGTCCCCCAAGCACCGTCAGGAGTAACTCCTGAGTGCAGAGCCAGGAGCAACCCCTGAGCATCACTGGGTGTGACCCAAAAAGCAAAATAAAAAGAATTTATTAAGCTGCTTGTTGCTTTAGGAGATGTTGCCTGTATATATGGCCCTACTGTGCTGAGGCTTCCGGGCCAATGAGTTGACGTGGATGCCACTGAGGCCCTTATTTTGAAAAAAGGCTTGGCATAGACCACAGTCAACTTTTCAAATTAGAACATTTTCTTTGTTAAAACTTTCAATAGACACGCACTCCTCTGTCCCTTACTTTCCCTCTTATTATTCATTATTGGTTTCGGGGTAACAATTCTTAGGGATTCTTAGGCGTTAACTTCTGGCTCTGCACTCAGGAATCACTCCTGGCGGAACTCAGGGTCAGGGATCGAACCCCGGTCGGCCACATGAAAGGTCACTGCCTTGCCCGCTGTCCTGTCTCTCCAGCCCAAATTAGAGCGTTTTCCTGTTGGCAGAATAGGAAAGACGTGATTGCGGCATGTAGAAGAAAGGACAGGAGCTGTTTGCTGATGTTGGACAGTTTCCTGCAACAGACCGGTGGTAGTTTGGAGACAGGATCGAGGTTGCTGCTGGGTTTCTGGGTGTCTCCAGGGCAATTGTGACAGAAACCCAGGGACTGTTGCACAGGGAATGTCACAGGCTTCAGCCTGCTGGTCTTCTGGGTCTGGGCATCAGTGGTCAGGCCGGCCAGTCTCCTGGCCCACGGCGTGCTTGTTCCGGTGTCCTGAATAAGCAAAAGACACCCCTCGTTAAGATAAACACCCACACCTGGCCTGCGGTGATGTGACACCCTCCTGCGACCCATATCATTACCGGCTTACTCCCACTCTGATCCTTGTTGACAGTATCAAGGCTCTTCAGCAGAAATCTCAGTTGTTTTTCTTGGTACTAGAAGAGAGCCCGGTGCCACCCTCACGTGATTGATTCCCTGCTGCGCGTTCTGGCTGGTCCTGGGTTTGAGTGGTGGCGCCGTCCCTGGGCTGTCCCAGTGCTGAGCCATTCTAAGAGCAGTGCCCAGGAAGGGCCAGCCGTGTTGCTGTCCTTTGCAGGGGTTGGCTGTGTTCTTTCCCACTGTGTCCCCTGAATTCCTCTTGAAAATCAGCCCCCTCTCGCCCACGTTAAGAGGTACAAGGTAGAAAAAAAAAATCACAGATCCATTGCAGTGACGCTTCAGTGAGGGTGAGGGGATGGAGTTGCGGTCAGATTTGGGGTTCGCTTTGGGCCAGCCAAGGGAGAAGACAGGGAGCTCCCGAGCTGGACGCCTGGTTTGGTGATGGCACCCCACCCAACCTGTGTCACTTTTACAGATCGAACAGATTGAAGCCGGAACTCCAGGCCGACTCAAGGTGGTGGCCAAGTCGACGGTGAACGACGAGACCATCGAGGGGGAGTACAACACGGTAAGCAGCGGCCGGGGGAGGCCAGTGCGGTGGTGCTGGCGCGTCCGGCTCCGTGCTTAGAGTGGCCGGTGGCTGTTTCCCGAGCCCCTTCCGGTGTCCCTCTATAGACTCACGGCTTGTGAAATTGTCATTTGTTTTGGTTACAGGGAGGGCGTCAGGTTTTCTCTACCAGCTCGAGATGCCATCAGGTGCCTCTGAGAGGACATCGGAGATGCTCACGTGGGGCCACACACGGGGTGCTCAGGGGCTCCTTTCTGCTTGGTGCTCATTGGTAGTTGTTGGCAGTGCTCAGGGATGGCCCCCAGGATTCAGCTCAGGTAGCACATGCTCGCCAGCCTGTTGAGCTGTCTCTTGGACCCAGAACTTTTTTTGGGGGGGGGTCACACCCGGCGATGCACAGAGGGTTGCTCCTGGCTCTGCGCTCAGGAATTACTCCTGGCAGTGCTCGGGGAACCCTGTGAGATGCTGGGAATCAGACCCGGGTTGGCCATGTGCGAGACAAATGCCCTGCCCATTGTGCTTTCGCTCCAGCCCCCAGATTTTTTTTTCTTTTTGGGTCACACCTGGCGATGCACAGAGGTTACTCCTTGGCTCTGTGCTCAGGATTTACTCCTGGCAGTGCTCGGGGGACCCGATGGGATTCTGAGAATCGAACCCTGATCAACCGCGTGCAAGGCAAACACTCTACCCACTGTGCTATCACTCCAGCCCCACCAGAATTTTTTTTTTGATAGACAGGAAATCCTCTCTCCCTTATTCTTATTCTTTTTCTTAAGCTCACCATCCACACTTTTTTCTTTTTTTGCCTTTATTTTCCTTAAATTTTTATTAGTGAAACACCACGAGGTACAGTTGTAGACTTACAAATTTTTGTGCTTGGGTTTCAGTTATACAATGATCGAGCACCCATCCCTCCACCAGTGCCCATTCTCCACCACCACTGATCCCATCCACACTTTTAAAACTCAACCATAGGCTAGGCTCTCTTCACCTCTGAACTTGGCTAGGTTTATTAAGAAATTAGCCAAGAAGTTAGCCAAGCGCGCTCCCCTCCCCCCCCCCCCCAGTTGCTTTTTAGTTTAGTTTTGTTTTTTAAGAGGTGGTTTTGGATCCTGCCTGGTGGTTCTCAAGGTTTTCTCCTGACCGTGTAATCTGGGGTCACTCTTGTTCTCGGGGGACCGTAGTTGGCTTGGGGATGGCCACGTGGAGCGAGCACTTTAGACCCAGCCCTGCTCTCTTTTCTCTGTTTTTATTCTGAGAAGCCTCCCACGTGTTGCTCGGGTGCCCGGCCGGCAGTTCCACCAGCCAGGGCGGCATTGCAGAACGAGGACCCACAGATGCAGACCTGCTCAGGGCCTTGCCGTGCTGGGGATACACAGGTCCTGCTGGGGCCCACTAGGGCTGTGCCTGGCAATACTAGAGACCATGAGGTGCCAGGAATCCAACCCACGCCGGGCTTGTGCTTGGTTTATGGCTGAACTGCTGCCCGCTCAGCCGGTGCTCCTTTTTTTGTTTGTTTTTTGTTTTTTGGGTCACACCCGGCGATGCTCAGGGGTTACTCCTGGCTCATGCACTCAGGAATTGCTCCTGGCGGTGCTCTGGGGACCATATGGGACGCTGAGAATTGAACCTGTGTCGGCCGTGTTGGCTGCGTGCAAGGCAAACGCCCTACCCGCCGTGCTATCGCTCCAGCCCCTGTGCTCCTTTTTTCTTAATGAACCATAATTACTAATGGATTAGGACTCTTGACTGTTATATTCAAGGGATTCTTAAAAGATTTTGTTTTAAATCTTGCATTATAGTCTCAGTAATATTTCTTAACTGTTTTGGTCAAAATTGTATTGGTTTAAAGAGCAGAGAAAAATAGGATTTAAAAACGTATGCAGAACTTTTAGTTAATAATTACTAATATGTTAATACCTTTTTTCAGGTCTTGCTGGCAATCGGAAGAGATGCATGCACGAGGAAAATTGGTTTAGAAACCGTGGGTGTAAAGATAAATGAAAAGTAAGAAAACCACTAATGCTTTATTAAAGCTGATCTACATAAATAGTGGGCTTTAGATTTTCAGTTCACTTGTACTGTAGTTGCAGGCTTTAAGCTGAGGAGACACTTTTTCTTTTTTTTTTTCAGTGCTCCTCACATAAATACTTCCTGTTTTGTTTTTTTTCCCCCTTTGCAAACCGTCTCGGTCTGTGCTGGCTGTTGTTTCTTTAATGTGCACGTATACAGGAAAGGAACCCAACCTCACCGAGAATTGCAAGTAGATACTCTGAGCTTTGTTTTAACTACGTAGATTGGCGCCTACTTGTGTATCAAGCTGCAGCATTTTCACTTTTCAGGACAGTGGGTACTCCTGGCAGTGCTAGAGCCCAAGGCCACACCTGATTGATGTTGGAAATGGGACGCACAACCTCCCCCCACACAAGGCCTATCCCATCCATCTGAGCCACAACCCTAGCCCCCAGAGTCCCCAAGTTTCAAACAGTCTAGAATAGTCACTGCATTTCCAGTGATGGCTGTGTGAGGATGAAACTGATGCCAGGACAAGCTGCAGCTAACATTAAGTCTCAGCTAGGCCTCAGTTTCTGTTTCCCTAGACAGGACTTGCAGTTTCTGGTAAACTCCCAATTGAGTAATTCACCTAGATAAGAAACTGGGCAGTTGGATCTAGCAGTCATGAGGTGTCACCGCACCCTTCTTGGAAAGAACCCCAAGGAACCCCAAACTGTGACTGGTCCCTGCTGTCTAATTGCTGACCACAGATATAATAAGGACAATGCTAAAAATATAATAGTATATAAGCCACTTTTTTTTTTTTGGCTTTTTGGGTCACACCTGGCAATGCACAGGGGTTCCTCCTGACTCTGCACTCAGGAATCACCCTTGGTGGTGCTCATGGGACCATATGGGATGCTGGGAATTGAACCTGGGTCGGCCGCGTGCAAGGCAAACGCATTACCCGCTGTGCTATTGCTCCAGCTGCTATAAGCCACTCTTAACTCTGAATCCTATATAAACTGCTTGTGAATTGGAGTCAGGGTCCTTTTCGAGACTCTGCCACGTTGAATGAGGCTTGGACCCTAGCTCGAGCTAGCCAGTAAAGACCCTTTGCTTATTGCATCGAGTCTTGTCTACGTGTGATCCTCTGGGGAGATCTCGGCCCGGTTTAAGAGCTGCACATAGGACATTTTATGTTATGAAGGATCCTAAAAGTGAAACTGGCCCTGCCTGGGTGGGCGAGAATTGGGAGCTGGCAGTGTAGAGCACCCTGGGGTGTTGCCCACACCCACCTTTGGCACTGCCAGAATGTTGAATGTTTTGTTAATTGTTTTTTTAAAAGTGATTTAAAAAAGTCATTTCTGGGGAGCAGCTGCGGACCTGCTTCTCACCTCTAACAGCAACTAATCTCAGGATGAGGATTCTTGTTTTCATTTTTCTTAGGGTGGGAGAGACAGATTAGAGTTCACTGGTAAGCTTTAGCAGACCTGATAATCTGATAATTAGATAATTTCCAATGATCTGTTTGATGGCCCCCGTTTGTGTCCAAGGTTTAGATTTTTGTCAACTGCTAGTGGATGGCCGTGCTTACTGTCGTTATCCTAGACTCACCGTGAACCGTGATGCTTGGCCCTGAACGTTCTCTGTGCCTTCTCACTCAGTATTCACAGGGCCACTGAGATAGGTGATGGCTTGCTTCCTTACCGTTGCTTCTCTTCTGATTATTTCCATTTCGAGGTGGATAAATGAGTTAGAGAGATTCAAAAGCACTGCCAACGTCAGAGTACTCACGGACCCATTAGTTTTTGTTTAGTTCTCATTCTTTGCCACTCTGTTCTAGACCTCTCACCCGCCCCGTTTTGTATTCTATTCCACTGCTTTTTTGTTTCCAGAATAACGGCCAGAATTGTCCCTAATCATTTGGTTCCTCGGACTTTTTCTTGGTGTGCTGAGAACAGTGCTTTCAGCTATGGTCACAGTGTAGGGGTGTGTGTGTGTGTGTGTGTGTGTGTGTGTGTGTGTGTGTGTGTGTGTGTGTTGTGTGGTGTGTGTGTAGATTCTGTTCGTATTTAAAGATGGTAACGGACGATGAATTGCAGGACTGGAAAAATACCCGTCACCGATGAAGAACAGACCAATGTGCCTTACATCTATGCCATCGGCGATATCCTGGAGGGGAAGCTGGAGCTCACCCCCGTGGCCATCCAGGCGGGCAGGCTGCTGGCACAAAGGCTCTACGCTGGCTCCAGGATAAAGGTGAGCGCTGCAGCTGGCCCCTTCCTTGGGATCGTCAGCAAGCTTTCCCAGTTTGGGTAATGGTGGTGTTTTGAGGAACGCATTTTTCAAGACGGTCTAATAGCCATACTGCAACCAAGATGTTGTTATAGCTGCAGTTACCGTAGTGATTTTTTTTTTTAATGAGAAAGGACACTCTTGGAATTGTGCTCACTAAGGAAACGAGCTTGGTTAATGATACTTTCCGCACTGCTGTGTTCCATAGCCTCATAATAATTGCATTTGACATCAGTTTTATTGTTAGCCAATTTTAATACAATTTTCTAGTCTTTCTGGGACCGTAACCACCCTAAAAGGGCTTGGGGATCTGGTCTGCGGGCAGAGCTGTCTTAGGATTGAGGTTTGATCCCGTTCTTTCAGGGCATGAATGCTCTCAATTTTTTTCCTTAGAATGTTGAATGTTTTGTTAATTTTTTTTTAAGTGATTTTAAGAAGTCATTGTAGGGATTTGAATTTGTAAGGAGATTGATTTTTTTCTTGCCATCTAAACCTATGAAACCAATTTGTTGTAAGACTTTTTATAGAGTATTTTTCGGCTCACAGCAAAGTTGAGGAATCTGCAAAGATTTTTCTTATGCCTTCTACCTCAGGATATACATAACATCCTCCGTTATTAACTTCACCTCCCTAATTATTTCTTTTTTTTTTTTAATAAATTTATTTATTGAATCACCATGAGAGCAGTTAGAAAGCTTTTGGGTTTAAATCTTGGTCATACAATGATGAAACACCAGTCCCTTCACCAGTGCACATTTTCTACCACCAAAAACCCCAGTGTACCCCCATCCCACACCCTCCTCCTACCTGTGTGACAGATAATTTCCACATTACTTTCTCTTTACTTTGATTACATTCAATATTTTGACATCAGACCCACCTTTTTTTGGGGGGGGGGTCACACCCAGCGTTGCTCAGGGGTTGGCTCTGCACTCAGGAATTACTCCTGGCGGTGCTTGGGGGACCATATGGGACACTGGGGATCGAACCCAGGTCGGCCGTGTGCAAGGCAAATGCCCTACCCGCTGTGCTATTGCTCCGGCCCCCGACCCACCATTATTATTTGGGATTTTATCCCAACACTCACATCTACCGAGAAGGCAATATTAGACCATCTGTTTTCTATTGCTGATTTTGAATAGCATATGATGTCATGCGGCCACTTGGAATTCTGAAATCTTAATAACTAAATCTGGAGGGATTTCTGCCAAAAGCCACTGGGTTTCGAGATTTGTTTCTGAGTCTCTGGGATCATGGCTTAAGCTGCTTGTTGAATAGCCAGAGGGCCCGTTCGTGGGGTGACTCCGGGTCTTGTTGGGGTTGGGGAGGAAAGGACTGGCCCTACCCCATCCCATGAGGCCGCATGTGTCTTGTCACTGCGTGCCCTTACCTGGCTGTCCAATGGCCTCTGTAAGATGGTGGACCCTCAGCCACTAGGGGGAACAGGTAGTGGATTGGCACTTTTACCCACCTGGAAAGGCCAGGGCCTGTAATCTAATGTGGAGTCCGGACACATTTCTGCCAAAAGCCGCTGGGGTCTGAGATTTGTTTGAGTCTTCTGGGATCCTAATTATTTCCTTTAAAAGAATTTCACTAGGGGCTGGAGCGATAGCACAGCGGGTAGGGCTTTTGCCTTGTACACGGCCGACCCAGGTTCGATTCCCAGCATCCCAGATAGTCCCCCAAGCACCGCCAGGAGTAATCCCTGAGTGCAGAGCCAGGAGTGACCCCTGAGAATTTCTGGGTGTGACCCAAAAAAAATAATAATTTCACTAATGGTTAAAGGACTTAGTTCCTGTCCATTCTCGAGGAGCATCTAAATCACCAGAGGTCGTTACCATTTGTACCATTTACTACCATGCTGCTAGTAAAATTCATGACAGACTCTTTGAATGTACCTGGGATTATTCTGGACGGTCACAATCACGGTCCTCCCGTTCATTGATTTGCTCGAGCGGGCTCAGTAATGTCTCCATCATGAGACTTGTTGTTACTGTAGCATATGTAATTTTTCATTTTTAGTTTTTCAGTGTATTTAAATGTTCTCAAATTACGGCTTAGGCTTCATGGTTCCAATAGGGTTCAAGTGTCTGGTGTTGATGGACAAAGTCACTGCCTCCCTCCCTACCTCCCCCAAAGTGCCCACAGCCCTCCACCACTGTTCCTTCACCTCTACCCTGCTTTCTCTTACTTTCTCATTGGTGGTAACTGAGTTTCATAATCCAAGACCCGTGGTTGGGTCATCATTGGATACTGTCTATTTCATTGGTCTCTTTTTCTGCATACCACAGATGAAGTGCGGTCACCCGGCATTTGTCCTCTCTGTCACACTCTCTGCCTTATTTCACATGCATGATACCCTCCGGCTCCATCCACTTTGCAATGACTTGCATGACTTCTTCCTTTCTTATGCTTGTGTAGTTGTCTGTTGTGTGTGTATACCAGAGGTTCTTTCTGTTTGTTTGTCCATATCCTAGAGGCTGTACTCAGCACGGCATTGAACAGGGGTGCATATACCCTTTTGAAATAATAACGTTTTTGTGTTGGGGGATAGCCAAAAAGTGGAATTGGTGTCTGTTACTTTGAGGAATCTCCATACTCTTCCCTAGAGGCTGAACCGATGACCTTTCCACCAATGGAGAATGACCATTCCTTTTTTACCACATCCCTGCCGATACTCTGCCGATACTCATGTAGTTTCCGATCTGTTCCATGAATGTCGTTCTCACTGGTGTGAAATGGTATTTTGTATTATTTTGATTAGCATTTCCCTGGTAGTAAGTGAGAAGACCTTTTTCGGAAGGGTAGTGGGCACATCTCATTGTGCTCAGGGCTGAACTGAGCTCTGCACTCAGGGATCTCTGGGTGAGCTCGGGGGACCAGGACCCTCCAGGATGCTGAGGATCGAAACCTACACCCTATAAAGGTGCCTTACCCTCTAGACTGTCCCTCCAACCCTGGCTCCCTGTCTTTTTGGTGGGGGTGTTGGTTTTATTGTTGAATTATGTAGCGTTTTTTATTTGATTTTAATTTAAAAAAAATTTATTAAGTCACCGTGAGAACAGCCACAAAGCTTTCCAGTTTAAGTCTCAGTCATACAATGATCAGACACCCATCCCTTTACCAGTGCACATTTTCCACCACCAAGAACCCCAGTATACCTCCCCTCCCACCCCTCCCCCTGCCTGTGTGGCAGAAGATTTCCACTTTACTCTCTCTACTTTGATCACATTCAATATTATGACAAAAGACCCACCATTATTACTTGGAATTTTCCCCAACAATCAGACCTGCCCAAAAGGCATCACTAGATAATTTGTTTTCTGTTGCTGATTATGAAGGCCATATGATGTCACATGGCCGCGATTTTGGGATTTCTGATCTTTTAGTAATAAGTCTGGAGGGATTTCTGCCAAAAGCTGCTGGGTTTTGAGATTGGTTTGTGTGCCTCTGGGGTCATGGCCATTAGGAGCCAGAGGAGGCATTCATGGGCCGCAACTTGGGTCCTCGTCAGGACTGGGAGCAGTGCTGGTTCCACACCCCCATCCCATGAAGCCCCTCATGCCTCATCACTGGAGTCTCATACCTGGCTGTCCATTAGGCTCTGAAAGATGGCGGCCACCGTGCCGTTGCTGCCCAGGGTAGCACTTTTTATATCTTAGCAGTTACCCCTTTATGTAATCTTAAAATCTTCCCTTTTTTTTTTTATCTTTCATTTTAAAAGTAACAAAAAAGTAAAGGGCAAAAGGGTTTTGAACCCCACATTGCCCGATGAACTGAGGCCCAGCAGTGGCGTCATACTAACATTTAGAGTAAACGTTAACTACCCGTTTGCTCATTGGTGACCAGCTTTCCTAGTCCTCAGGTGTCGGCACAAACTCAGATCTCGGGTAATAGTGCTCAGTAAGCTCCTCTCCGGGACATGGACTTGCCAAACTCTGGTAGAATTTATTAGTTCGCTTTCCTTTTCTAATTGTGAACCTATTCTAATTGTGAAGTCCGTCCTGCTTGATTGACAGTTTCCCTTTTCATAACTCTTCTCTCTCCATTTTTAAACAGTGTGACTATGAAAATGTTCCAACGACTGTATTTACTCCTTTGGAATATGGTGCTTGTGGTCTTTCTGAAGAGAAAGCTATAGAGAAATTTGGGGAAGAAAATATTGAGGTAACTGTTTTATTCTTTATTCCTCTATTATTTGTTTGTTTCAAGATCTAATTTGAATTATTCAGGGAAAAAATGTAAATGGTGCAGAGAACTTGTTTTGTATGCCCATTCTCCAGATTTATATAACATTTTCCTCATTTGTTCCATACGTCTCTTTAAAAAAATACTTGCAATCATATTTAATATTTTTGTAGTGCTGATAAACTTCTTGATCAATAAAAGTCCAAGAGAAGGCGTTTACAAAACTCCTTTGGAAGAGTGGCATTAGGAGGCCAGAAATAGCTGGGTTGTCAGGGGCATGACGTGCCAAGGTGCCAGAAACTGAGCTCTGTGTCCCGTGACTCCCAGCATCCTTGAGCCATACTGTTCCACATCCCCGGGCTGAACATCGATCCTTCCAGCCCAGCAGCGGAGTCTGATGGGAGTGGCCTCCAGGGCCCTGCTCAGCAGTCCTTTGCTCCTCCTGGTGAAGACAGCCTGCTTGCCACTCATCTTTGTACTGTGTCTTGAGATCTTTGATGTTAGAGTAATTGAATGCGGAGAACTAAGACAGCCTTTTTCAACACCAAGGGCTTTGAATAGGGCTGTAGGAACTTGAGACTCTCTGCGGGGCAGCTTGGATCTTGCATTTAAAGGCTACTCTCTGCAAATTTCCAACGCAGCCATCAGAAATACCAGCAGTGGGATCCCGTAGCAAGCTGGATCGCACCTGAGCTTGTTTTATCCTTTTTATATTTTTTTCTTTATATCTGGATTTTTCTTTTTTTTTGTCTTAGCCGTTTGAAAAAATGGTTCCTCTGCTCCATTGTGTTTCCTATAAAAAAAAATTTTATCTAACTACCATATAGTCTCTTTCTCAAATTTCATATTGATAATGCTTCCCATACATTTTTTTTTCCGGTTTTTATTACTTAACCCAATACTACTACCTTCTACTTTTTTAAAATAAGGACCTTCCTCCCCGGTGTGGGGAAGTCTGGGGCCACTTCTCATGACGCTTGACTGTGCTGGGAATCAAACTCAGGTCCCACACATCCTGCCAAGTGCTCTTAATGCTGAGGACACGCCCCCTGCCACTGCCCCTGCTTTGTTAAAAGTGTCGTTGAAATAGAAAATATGAAAAAAACTAAACATTCACTGCAGTTCTATGACTGTAGAATACTGATATTCTTTCCCTAACATACATTGCGGTCTCTCTCTGTCTGTCTGTCTGTCTCTCTTTGTCTTTCTCTCTTTTTGTGTTCTTGGGCCACATCCGCCAATGCTCAGGGTTTACTTCTGACTCTACACTCAGAAATTACTCCCGGCTGGCTCAGGAACTCTCTGGGGTGTCAGGGGTCGGACCTGGTTCAGCTGCTGATCTATGGGCTCTGTCTCTGCAATTGTTTTTTGTTCTTGTTTACCTCTCCTTAATTCAATTTTACTTACTTTCTTTCTCTCACGTGTGCTTTGTTGTTAACAAATGAAGCTTTACTTTTGGACGTGATTGAGATATAGCTCAAGAAATTTAAAGTCAGCCCCTTCCTGCCCTGATTCCTGTGTGGCTTGTGAATTTACTGTTAAATTACAGCTGAGAGATGTGTCTGGCTTCCACGGGGTTGACAGGCATACCCTGAAGATAACGGGGCTTACTCTTGTATCTTCCAGGTTTACCACAGTTTCTTTTGGCCCTTGGAATGGACGATCCCATCAAGAGATAACAACAAATGTTACGCGAAAGTAGTCTGTCATATCAAAGACAACGTAAGTCCATTCCTCGTTTCCCCTGCCACCGATTTGATTCTTCGTATGTCATTCTCTTTTGGTCCGAGAGATCCGCATTGCATCCTTTGAGTATTTTACTGAAAGGTTTATTAGCCCCTTTAATTCTCACCCAGCCCCGAGGCCTGTGCTCTTGTTACCCCACTTTGAATCACCTGGAGGTTCAGTAACCAGATTCATGGCCTGGCTAGAATTCAGTGCCAAGCTGTGGGGAGGGTATGGTGATTACGTCACCATCCTGTGCCCGAGTCGTGTGTTGTATCTCTCCCTCATCCTGTCCCTTCACTTCTTCCCCATCCTGGCAACAAGTGTCCTGAGGTGGAGTGTCTTTTTATTTATTTTTTAAAAATTTTTATTAGTGAAACACCATGAGGTACAGTTGTAGACTTACAGATTTTTGTGCTTGGGTTTCAGTTACACAATGATCGAGTACCCATCCCTCCACCAGTTCCCATTCTCCACCACCACTGATCCCAGTATCCCTCACCCCCCCCCCCCATCTCCCCCATCCCACCCTACCTCTGTGGAAGGGCATTCCCTTTTGTTCTCTCTCTCCTTTTGGGTGCTGTGGTTTGCAAAAGAGGCATTGAGTGGCAATCATATTCGGTCTATAGTCTACTTTCAGCACGCATCTCCCATCCTGGGAGAATCCTCCCAACACCCTTTATTTGGTGCTCTCTTCTCCATCTGAGCTGCCTTTTCCCCTCGCTTGTGTGGCTGACCTCCAAGCCATGGAGTAAGAGGTGGAGTGTCTTGACAGTGTATGTGGGTCTCCCTCCTAATTCCTGTCGACACTACAATCTGGGTCGGTAGAATCCAGCCTGATGTTTAAAAATCATAGAAAGTGATCTTTATACGATTTGTAAACTCAGCGTATTCTGTATGGTTTCTGAATTTTGCACTTTATTTGTTCGTACACTCAAGCCCCAATTGCCAGCATGACTCCAGTCTAGAACACACTGCCTACAGACACCCCCCCCCCCCCCCTCCCGCCTTCCTGGTTCTTTCCCAGGGAACAGTTCCACTTTGTTGGTGTTTATTTTGTTTGTTGTGGCATTGGGGCCATGCCCAGGGCTCACTCCTGGCTCTGTGCTCAGGAATTAGGGCCGGAGCTCAGAGGACCATGTGGGATGCCTTGGGTTGGACCCAGGGCAGGCGTGTACCAAGGCAAGCACCTGGCCCACCGTACTGTTCCCCCCACCCCAGGCCTCCCAGTGTCACTTTGGATAATGCGTCACACCCCTGCCTTAGGGGAGATTGTCCTAGATCCTCCTCCAGTCTCAGTGTCGCTCTGAAAGTCTGTCAGCTCATGAACATCATGTGTCCCGTTATGTAGAGTCTAAGTTTGGGACTTAGAATTTATCTGAAACGTCCCTTGATGGCCAAACATTTCAGATTTGCCAAACATTTCTGAATTTGCAGCTCTTACCAGATGGCGAACCTCTGAAGGATAGTTGTGCTGTCTGCCCCCAAACCTCAGCTGCAATAATTTCTTAACTTTCTTAAAAAATGTCTCTGGTGCCACACCGGGTAGTGCTGGGGCCTCAAACTTGGGGCTTTCATGTGCCCAGCTTGACCTGCAGCCTTCTGGGGTGTCTCCCCCAGCTCCTTGATTTCTTAAAATTGGTAACATGTTATAGGGAGGCGGGAGGTACCTGGAATCCTGAGGAAACCAGGTAGAGGAAATGAGGGCACAGCTGCCCTTGGAAAATTTTTTCATGGGGTTTTTAAAGATTCCATGGCCGTGGGTGGGGGGACGGGTGTGAGGGACATCTCAGTTATCCTCTGGCTTTGTTTCGCATCTTAGGAACGCGTCGTGGGCTTCCATGTCCTGGGCCCGAATGCTGGAGAGGTGACCCAGGGCTTCGCAGCTGCCCTCAAGTGCGGACTGACCAAAGCTCAGCTGGACAGCACCATCGGGATCCACCCCGTGTGTGCAGAGGTGGGTCCCCGCTCCCACCCGCACGCCTTCCCGGCATCCTCTCCAGGGTGGGCCAGGGACTGAGGACTCTGAGGTGCTTTCTGCTCCTCTCGGGCCAGTTCTTCGTCCCCTCGCCGCCTTTCTGGAGTGGAGAATCTTTCCAAAGAAGGTCTCGTCCGACTCCAGAGCGGTCTCTGGTTCTTTCCCTTACTTTGCATTCCTGGAATGAGCTGCAGAGTGGTGCTGTGCTCCATGGTCAAAAAAAGGGATTTGTGGGGATTAGACCCAGGGCCTCTCATGCATAAACCATGCGCCCTGCCGCTGAGTTCTGCTCCCACCCGCCCGCCCGGTGCTGCCAGCCTTACCTTGATCCCGTCTCTCCGGAGGACTCTCACTGCACCGGCCGAGCTTTAATCCTGATTAGCGCGAAGTTTCCTGGAGGGGAAGCGCTGCGCTTTCCCTTAGTTGAGCCAAGATCGGGTTTTGAAGGTGACTGGGAGGTGACAGTAGGTCTGAAGCAGCCCAGTGCGGGCCTCCGGGGGTCAGTGTTTCTCCACGGGACTCTCACAGGGGTCTGCACCCGGGGACCTGGAAGCCTGGGAGGCACAGAGATGAGATCTCAGGACCTGGCCGTGTCACTCAGCTCTCCGGAAGCGTGGTTTCCACGTGCAAATTACTGGGGTGATGCTTGACTTGGTAGCAAGGCTCGGGGTATCTAGGAGAGCTCCCGCATTGCTGGGTGTCCAGTAACTGCTTGTAGGCTGGTTTCCCCACAAGACTGTCATCAAAGATGTGGCTGTGTGTGTGTGTGCGCGTGTGTGTGTGCGCACGCGTGTCTGTGTGTGCATGGTGTGTGTGTGTGTGTGTCCGTGTGTGTCCCTGTGTGTGTCTCTCTTTGTGTGTTTGTGTGTGAGCGTATTTAAGGAGTAATTTCTTAGAAAAGCTGACAAGATTCCTCAGCTTAGAAATTCCCGAGGGTCTCCTTCTGGAATTGTTCTAGAGGAGGAGAGAAGTCTGTTTCAGCAGCCCTTGTCAGCCTGCAAGGCAGAATCGCATTCGCATTATTCAGCGTGAAGTTCCTGGTGATAATGTATTCTGGACATCTGAGCAGTGAGAATCCAAATAGGAAACGGATTACACCTCATTTGGAGGAGTAATTTCAACTAATCAAGTCTGTTTGTAGGAAAAACGGTAACTCCAGAGGAAAGTGCATTCGAAAGAGCCCCGTGGAATGTCTTCAAATGAGTTTTAGTACCCTATGAAATATTTAAATAACTCCCACTGTCATTATTGCATGGGGAGGGGAGAGAGAGGGTGTGTGTGTGTGTGTGTGTGTGTGTGTGTGTGTGTGTGTGTGGCACAGTAAGATGTAAACGCCCATGGCAGTGTTGCCTTGCGACTGTGTGCTTTGTGGGTTGTATTCCTTGAGTAGCAAGGCGGGATTGCAGGATTGGTTTCACCCTGTTTTTAGCTGTTTCAAAATGTGTTTTTAGGGGCAAGAGACCTACCTAGTACAGTAGGTAAGGTACTTGCTTTGCACATGGCTGACGTGGGTTTGGTCCCCAGCATCCCTCATGGTACCCTGAACACCATCAGGAGTAATTCCTGAGTGCAGAGCCTAGAATAAGCCTTGAGAACTGCCACGGTTGTGCCTGCTGTGGCACAGCCCTCCTCCCCCATCCCCCCCCCCCCCAAAAAAAAAACCCCAAACACCCAAGAAAAAATTGTTTTTATGAAAATTCAGAAGAGGCAGTGACTAAAACCTTTGTAAAAATGAACCTCATCTGTTGATCTTAGCCATTTCTTGAGATTCATCTATCTGGGTGGTCATTAGGCTACCACCTTCCCAGATCTCTTCTGCCATCCCTGTCGGTATTAGAGAAACAAATTCTTCCCACGTTTGCATTGGCTGTGTTGACTATGCAAGTCCCTCACAAGCTCTGTTTTTTTCCTTGTCTTGGGACCCACGTGGGGTTGCCTTGTGCATGGCCAGCCCGGCCAAGCCAGGTTCGATTCCTCCGCCCCTCTTGGAGAGCCCCGCAAGCTACCAAGAATCTCTCTCCCGTATGGCAAAACCTGGCAAGCTCCCCGTTGACACATTCAATATGCCAGACACAGTAACAAGAAGTCTCTAAATGGAGACGTTACTGGGCCCGCTCGAGCAAATCGATGAACAACGGGAGGACAGTGCAGTGCTACAGTGGGGCCCACGTGGTGCCAGCAACGGGGCCCAGAGCCCCACCCCCGCAGGGCCCTGCTCTGCCACTGGAGTCTCATCCCTGACCCCCAGGTTTCTTTTCTGAATTTCTGAGAAGTGAAGCTCGCCAGCTCATAACCCCAATATTTGATTTAATGGAAGCTCCCTGGCTCTTTTATTTTTCTTCCTCTAAGCCCAGCCATCTCCATCGTCCTATATTGTCCTTCTGTTCTTGCAAAAGCCACACTTTTTTAAACAAAGGAAATTACAGTGTTTTTCAGTTGAGCTGAACTAGCTTACCGTGTCATCAGCATTGCATTTAAAAGTGTTAATGAAACTCTTGAAAAATTCAGTGTAATTATGTTTTTTTTGTTCTTCTGTAAGTATAAATGAAGTAACTATTCCAAGGATTGTTTTTTTTTTTTTTTTTTGCTAACAAGGTTGAAGCTTTTTTTTTTTTGGCATGTTGAATGATCTTTTCTCTGGGTATACGTTTAAATATTTTAATATCCTGGCCTGGTTTTTCTTGAGTCTGGATATTTTTAGGTGCTGCTGACATTCAGGAAGGGCACGAGATGTCCAGGGCTTTCTTGGTCAGGATCCTCCTTTCACAGGAAGTTATTTCCTCTTTTTTTCCCCCCCAAAAGTACATTTGATGTTGATTCGTATTGCTTTGGCCTGGATTCCTTCTGGTCCTCTCTGTAGGAAAAGCCGGGAAACTACGTGGTCCTTAGGAAGCAGAGAGAGCCGGTCCCAGAAGTCTGCTCAGCCAGCAAGGACCGAGCCTGGAGGTGCCCAGACTTCCTTGATCTACTGTCCCCTCTTCAGAAGAGAAAAGCTATGGCCATTGGAGATCGACCTCCTCTAAGGGGACAGGCAGAAAGCCACCCTCTCCCCGGATCGTTCACTGCCCGCCTACCACAGAGCTGAATCACCCACTTTGGGAAATCCTAGCCTCGAAGTCTTTTTCTTTTTTGGGTGGGGGGTCACACCGGGATGCTCAGGGGTTACTCCTGGCTCTGCACTCAGGAATCACTCCTGGCAGCCATATGGGATGCTGGGAATTGAACCTGAGTCGGCTGTGTACAAGGCAAACGCCCTCCCCACTGTGCATATCACTCTGGTCCCCAGGCCTCGGGGTCCTGCTGCTTTCATTGCCAGGTCACCCTCAGAATCCACATTCATCTTCCCCACCTTCCCATCCCCGCTTCACACACACAACCCCCTTCCCCCCCCCCCCCCGCCCCGAATCTCAGGCACTTTTGTTGTTAATTGAATTGCAGTGAGATAACATAATTATAAAGTTGTTCGTGATGGGGTTTCGGTCATGTAACGTTCCAGCACCTGTCCCTGCCCCTGTGTGCATGTCCCACGGTCAGTGTCAGCCACGTCCCAGGCACAAAGGTCCACCTGCAGCCTCAGCCCCAGGCGTTGAACATTTCTGCTCTGTGTAGGTCACTAGTGACCATCGCATCCCGGCATCTGTGCGTCTGTCCGTGGAAGGGTCCGTTTTCCTTTTCCTCACAGGAGGATAGTGCCGTTGATTCCAACAATTGAGGCTGTTAATCCAGTCGAGGGTTTTGTTCTCAACATGCAGGGGTCTGGTCTGCCAGTCCAGGTGGGCCTGGTTGCCGCCTTTGAGGAACTCTCTGGCAGCAACCGCCATCCCGGAGATCCTGGCCCGGCCAGGGCGTCGTCAGTGTCTGTGACTTCAGGGCTGGGAACGCCCTGTGCCCGGTGTGGCACCTGGGTGTGGCCGGGGTTCTGCTCGCCAGACACTTGTCTCCTGCCCTGAGGAGTGTTTGGGTGCCGTGTTTCCCTCACCAGGCCCGGCCTGTCCCTGAGACTCACTGCTGAGTGCTCAGCCTTTCCAGCACACAGATTTCGGGAGTTGTTTTTCTCTGGGAGCCCCTGTACTCTGCTGTTCTGCCCCCCCAGGCTCCCCGGTGTCCACTCAGTCCCTCAGAGTTATCACAGTGTCTGGTCACCGCCTGGGTAGAAGACCAGCCCCTCATTTTTGCGGGACCGAGTTGTGGAAAGCCGTGTTTTGTCTGGCTTCCTGCGGAAGTGGGGAGCCAGTGGGGTCCCAGTGCCACCACCCGGCCAGGGATGGAAATGCCTGGGTATTTCTGTTGTTGCTATTCATTTGGGGGCCACACCCGGCAGAGCTCAGGGATGACTCCTGGAGGTGCTCCGGGGACCGTATGGGATGCTGGGGATCGAACCCGGGTTAGCCACATGCCAGGCAAACACCCTCCCTGCTGTTGTATTGCTCCGGTCCTAAGCATAGGAAGTGTTTTGTTCTGTTCCCTCTTGACTTGTCAGTTTTTCTGTTTGGGGGAAATAACGGAGATCAGCCACTGACTCGGGTGGACCCCAGCAGTTCACAGTGCGTGACTGACTCTGTGATGTACAAGCAGCCCTGTAATTAGAATCAGTCACTGAGATGCTCGCTGGGAAGCAGTTTCCTCAGCCCTGCCCTGCTTCTGCCGAGAGAAAATTCAGATCACTCTGAATTTCTGGGTATCATTTGCATTGAGAAGACGCTTGTTAGAGAAGTGAAGTTTTTTTTTTTGTTTTGTTTTGTTTTTTAATGTGCTGGCAGTGTTGTACGAGGGCAGGTCAGCGCTCCTCGGGGCCATGGAGGCTCCGAGCCAGTGTGTGCAGCCCTGGGAAATCACCCTGCCAGTGTGGCTGGCAGCCGGGCGGGCACCTCGCCGGGGCTGCCAACTGGGCTGCTGAACCTCCAGCTCTGGGGCCAGGAGCTGCCCTGGCAGGCCGCGGGCCCATTGCCAGCACTTGTTGGCAGTGACTTGGGAGCCAGGAAGGTGCCTGGCCGGGCATCTCATAAAGCATTTGGCCCGTGAATGACGGGCACTGTGGCATCCTCTGAGTCTCTGTCTGTAGCTGCACGTCCCGGGTAGCCAGCGTCACAGACAGCGGGGAGGGCGCCTCCCTTGCACGAAGCCGACCTGGGTTCCATCCCCAGCGTTTCCGTATGGTCCCCCGAGCACTGCCAGGAGTGATCCCTGAGCACAGAGCCAGGAGCGAGTCCTGGGCGTCTCTGGGCGTGCCTCCCACTCCAAAGCAAATGCAGCCCTGAGCTGAGAGCAGGAGAGGAGCCTGGGCAGAAGGTCTTTGGACGGCGCCAGACGGTGTGAGGGAAGGAAGGCGGGAGGTGCGACTATTACTGAACCCCTGAGTGGGGGGAGCACGTGTTCCCTGGCCACCTTTTGTCCCTCCAGATCCCTGAGTCATTTTTTTTTTCTTTTTGGGTCAAACCCGGCAATGCACAGGAGTTATTCCTGGCTTTGCACTTAGGAATCACCCCTGACAGTATTCAGGGGACCATATGTGATGCTTGGAATCGTGATCCTGCAGCGAGCAGATGCCATTGGGCTACACTAGCATGTGACAGGGATGCATGGAGATGTTACTGGCGCCTGCTCAAGCAACTTGATGAGCAACGAATGGGAAGACAAGTGATACAAGTGAAAGTTGTTCACAATAGTTCGTTACATTTAATATTCAAACACCAACCCCACCACCATAAGAGGAAAGTGTGTGAAGATTGTTGTATTTCATTCTGGAGCCATTTAAGTCCTCATAGAAGAAATAGCAAGCATGTGTGTTAAACCCCAGCCGAACGTGTGCTACTCTTGGTTCATCATTGGACTAGAGTATGAGAGATTCGTGGTCGTGCGCTCCTAGGAATTCTGGAATTTAGACTATGATGATGGGGCTGGAGGGATAACACCGCGGTAGGGCATTTGCCTTGCATCCAGCCGGCCCGGCCGAGCTGGGTTCGATTCCTCCGCCCCTCTCAGAGAGCCTGGCAAGCTACCGAGAGTATCTCGCCCACATGGCAAAGCCTGGCAAACTCCCCGTAATGTATTCGATGTGCCAAACACAGTAACGGTTGTCACAATGGAGACATTAGTGGGCCCGCTCGAGCAAATCGATGAACAACGAAGGACAGTGCTGCAGTGCGGTGCTACAGAATATGATGACAGAGCAGGCTCTGACTCACGGACAAGCCCATGGCACTCTCTTCTTGCCGTTGATGGGATTACATGGTGCCGGGGGCAGTTTGTGGGGGTGACTGCCAAGCGACTGGAAAACTGGGGAGCTGGGGTGGGAAGGAGGTGGAGGCCCAGTCTAGCTCAGAGGGAGCTTGGAGATCTCAGTCATGGGTCCCGCACACCTGGGTTTTTCTGCAGGTTGGAGTGATAGCACAGCGGTTGGGCGTTTGCCTTGCGTGTAGCCAGCCCAGACGAGCCGGGTTCAATTCCTCTGCCCCTCTCCGAGAGCCCGGCAAGCTGCCGAGAGCATCTTGCCCGCATGGCAGAGCCTGACAAGCTCCCCGTGATGTGTTCAATATTATGCCAAACACAGTAACTACAAATCTCATAATGGAGACGTTACTGGGCCCGCTCGAGAAAATCGATGAACAACGGGAGGACAGTGACACAGTGACAGTGTCCCTTGTGGGTGAGACTTGTCTGAGCCTGTGTGGAGAGCAGCCTTGAGCAAATGCCCATGAGAGTTCTGGAGGTTTTCGGCTGCCCGGGTACTGCTGGGACGGGGAGGGAAACTCAGCTCCCCGCTCCACCCCTCCCAGTAGACCCCTAAGTCTCCCCCAAGCCTCGCCCTTTCTTCCCGGGCCCACCTTGGGGGCATCTGCACCTCTTTAGTTGGCTAGGACTTCTGTAGAGATTTTACAATGCTTCCGCCATTGATCCTGCAGAGAAATAGCGGCTCTCCCCGGGCTGGTGGCTGCGGTTTGGGGGGGAGGGGGCGTGGCCTGAGTTAAGTGCCTGTCGTTCTCGCCAGGAGAGGGGGGTCCCGAGCCCCACTCCCCGCGTCTGAGCGTCCCCTGCTCTCTTTTTCCCCCCTGCAGGTCTTCACGACGCTGTCGGTGACCAAGCGCTCCGGAGGCAACATCCTGCAGGCCGGCTGCTGAGGTTAAGCCCCGGTGCGGGTGCCGCCCGCCAGACTCCGCGCCGCGCCCCTCCGGCCCCGATCCAGGGTGAAGAAGATTTCGAGAAGGGACTCGAACTTCTGCCCTGGGCGTCCTGCGCACCCTCCCTCCGGGTCGGAAGCAGCGGGTGGAAGGCAGGCGGCATCGCACTGGGGTTCCCGCCACCGGCTGAGCCCAGCGCCCGACAGGCACCCCAGGGTGCATCCATGAAGTCACCAGCCTCAAGCCTGCGGGTGGGCGGTGATGGAACCTTGTCGGCGCTTTCAGCCTCCCTCTCCGGGGTCCTTCCTCACGTGGAAGACCCTCCGTGACTCCTCTCTTTCTGTCTTAAGGCGTTACTGGTCCTAGTTAGGAGAAAAAAAAAAGAAGGTTAGCGGTGGGCTCTGGTGTAGAGCTGGGTGGGCCCCCTTGCCCCATGAAGGAGCACTGCCCAGACCCAGTTGCACTAAACAGCGCACATCCCTCACTGTTTAGCAGTGTCCCCTGATAAAAAAAAAAAAATCCATTTCCAAAGCAAGTCAGTGGAAGGCTGAGTCTGGGTGGGCTCCTCTTGGGGAGGGGGCGGCTGCCTTTATCCTGGGGCTGAACGGAGTGTCCTGGCTGTGCTTTTTCCCCGTCTGTGTATGTCATGTCCTTTTCTGAGAACTGTGCCCATAGGAACGCGATTCTTCCCACTCTTCTGTCATCATCCCATTTTAAAGGAAACGCTTGATGTCCTAAGTTATTCTCAAACACAGGTGGATGTGAAGGATTTTCAGAAACAAAGACCAAACCAAACCAAGTGACTTGGGGGCCAACGCGATCAAACACGGTTTAAGGTGCTGACCTTGCACGCAGCCAACCCCACTCAGAGGGTCCTCCGAGCACTGCCAGGAGCCAGCCCTGAGCACTGAGCCAGGGAGAGCCCCCTGAGCATAGCTCGGTGTGGCCCCAGAACCAAATAACATCCCCCCCCCAAAAAAAGACCCCAGGTGGTTTTGACTTCCTCTGTCCCAGGGGTTTGGCAGGCGGCGCCGGTCCACAGTGGCTTTTCCTGCCAGCACTGTCCCAAGCCCGGTTGAACACACGGTGCCTGGTCGCCGCTGGGGTTCTGCGGGTGGCTCAGCCTGTCCCGCCCGACCCAGGGGTGACTCTGAGCGGCCCCTTCAAAGTGCATTTCTTGGTCACCTCAGGGAACCCCCTCATCTGCCTGGCGCTCGGTCAGCAGAGCACCCGGTCCTGCCCACAGGCTCTGCCTCTCGTCCTCGGCCCAGGAAGAGAAGAGAGGAAAAAGACGGGCCCATAGAGGCAGCGGGCTGGGTTCACTTTTATTTATTCTTACTGATTTTTAAAATTTTTTTTTCCCCCTCCCCGAGTCTGCCCATCTCTGCCATGGAAACAATAGCCAGGCTGACAGGGTTCCGTCTAATCATGTTGTGATTCCCTCTGAGCGGGCAGAATGTTCTGTCCCCACCGGAAGGGTCCCCTTAAGGCTCCGTTGACAAGTCTTGTCCAGATTCTCTGCCCACCCGGTGCATCGACGCACATCCATTTTTGTTGTACGTCTCCTGAAGAGAAGCAATGTGAAACATTAAAAGTATTAATACCCAGCCGGTGTGCCTCCTCCTTGAGGGGGTGGGGGAGGGGTTGGCTGGAGGGGGGACGGCGGGGCTGGGGGTCGGCTGCAGTGGGGTGACCTGCCTTCCGCTTCCGGTTTGTAGAGGTTTTCACTGAGTTTTTGCATGCAGGGTCCCCTGGTTCGGGGCCAGGTGCTGGGGGGTGTGCGGGGAGCAGTGACACAGGACAGAGCGGCCGAGGCAGCCTCGGTTACACACCTGGTGCTCAGTACACGTTACAGGTAGGTTGAGGGTCTGATCCTTGGCTCACTTGCCTGCCCCTCGCTCCCCGACGCGCCCCTTGGCAGCCCAAGCTCCCCATTTCCTTTCCCTCCCATCTCAGCCTTTCCAAAGTACGTGTCGGTTCTGCCCCCACGAAGCAGCAACTGTGGCTAAAAAGCACATGTGGCACAGTGGGTACTGGGCATGTTGGCACCTCCATGCACGCTGGCCCTGCCCCTTCCTCCTGCCGCTCAGGAATCCTGGTCCTAGTGGCACTTGCTGAGGGAGGAGTGTTGAGATGGGAGCCTGGGCCCAGCCCCTCAGCTCCTGGCCTGGCGATAGCACAGCCCCTGGTTCATTTCCCAGCGTCGCATATGGTCCCCCAAGGACCGCCAGGAGTAACCCCTGAGCATCACCGGGTGTGATCATCCCCTCCCCCCCCCCAAAAAAAAAGATGAGGGCGACGAGAAGGTGTCAGATGCCTGCAGAGTGTCTACTTAGCAGGAAGCGGGGTGTCGAATCAGAGATGGATGTGGAGGGTCAGTGGGGGGAGTGGGGGAGGCTGGTGTGAGGTGAAAGGTCAGTGGGGACGGCTGGCGTGGCAGCTGGGCTCGTTGAGCAGGAGCACTGCTGCCCCTAGAGCTGGGCCCACAGGTCCCTCCGCACCGGGTGTCTCAGCCCCTCTGGGTGCCATGGGGGTCCCCGTCCCGGGAGAGGGGTCGGGTCCAGCACTCCTTGCCTGGGCGAGGCCGGATTTCCACGGCAGGGACGCCTTTGCTCCTGGTCATGGCAGTGGGCCCCCTGGTCAAGCTCTGCTGGCCATGAGCCCTCAATCAGTCGGTCACTCCTTGTGCTGGGCGTGCACTTGGCTCTCTGCTGCAGCCTTGCTCCGTTTTCTTAGCACCCCCCGAATCCCTTCAGATGAGGGGCCCCTCACATGTCCCTTTACCACCTCTTTAGAAGCCCTGCCTCCAGATACAGCTGCATTTTGCAGTCCAGGTTTCAGCCCGTGAAAGATCTTTCACAGATCATTCACTGTCAAGGATTTTCAGGGTGTGCAATACCGTTGGAGACCCATCCGTGTGTTGAGCGAGAAAGACACAATAAGGGCCAGAGCCAGAGTCCAGCAGAAGGACAGGACACTTCCCTTGCGAGTGGCCGGCCTGCATTCGATGCCCGGGATCCCTTATGGGCCCTGAGCACTGCCAGGAGTAACACCTGGGTGCAGAGCCAAGAGTAAGTCCTGAGCACTGCTGGGTGTGGCCCCCTTTCCCCCAAGAAAAATTAATTCAGGGACCAGCGATAGTACAGCGTGCAGCTGACCTGGGTTCCATCCCTGACATCAAAAATAACATTAAGGGGCCAGAGCTGACAGGTCAGTGGGCTGAGTGCACGCGTGGCATCCAGAAGTCGGATTCAATCCCTGGCAGCCCACTAAGCACAGCTGGGAGTGGCTGAGCACTGGGCACAGACCCTAGAGTAGCTTCTGAGCACCCCTGGGTGTGGCCCCAGAACCAAAGCAATCTGCAGGGATGCTGAGCAGCATCACAAAGGAAAGTCTCCTAAAATAACAAGAGAATGTTGGAAAGGGAAAAAACCTTGAAGATAGGGAAGATTTGAATCAACAATGTCTCTCTACTGTTGAAAAAAATCCACTTTTCCCTTCTATGTCCTTGACATGTTTCTAGGAACCACAAGTACATTTCCCTTCAAAATGTGCTCTCCTAACTAAAACAGCCGACCAAACAATTCAGAGAATTTACCCTCAGGAAACCTAAAAATATTCTTTTGCAGGGGTGGGAGGTGGCTGTTTGGCCACACCCTGTGATGCTTGGGGGTCTCTCTTGGCACTGGGGATGGCATCAAGGTGCACTGCATGCAAGGCAGTACCTTCATCCCCGTACTGTATCATAACTTCTGTCCTGCCCCTTGGCCTCTGTACTGCCCTTTGACCCCTATACTGCACCTTGACCCCTGTACCGTGCCATAACCCCTCTGCTATCTCTCTGCCCCAAGAAAAACATTTATTTAAAGAAACTGGGCAAAAAGTTTAATTAGAAATATAGTCACTGCAAATAGCGGAAAAGAGTACTTGTAGGGTGTGGGCAGGTTGTATTCAGGAAAGTTGAAAGCCTTTCTTATTTTAGAGAAAAATAATAAGTAAGGGGCCGGAATGATAGTACAATGACTTCATATTGCCCCTGAAGCCCCACCAGGAGTGATCCCTAGCAGAGAGGCAGGAATAAGCACCACTGGGTCACTGTAGCACTGTAGCACTGGCCTCCCATTGTTCATCGATTTGCTCGAGTGGGCCCAATAATGTCTCCATCGTGAGATTTTGTTGTTACTGTGCTTGGCATGTTGAATATGTCACGGGGAGCTTGCCAGGCTTTGCCGTGCAGGCAAGATACTCTTGGTAGCTTGCCGGGCTCTCCGAGAGGGGCAGAGACATCAAACCGGGGTCGGCCAGGTCGGCCGCGTACAAGGCAAACACCCTACCAGCTGTGTTATCGCTCCAGCCCACTGGGTGACACCAAATAAATAAGACTTCCTTTCAAGAAGCTGGCAAGTAAGAGTCAAGGTTCTGTCCGCAGGCAGCTCAGAGGAGCAGATGACAGAAGTGAAGCTGAATCTCAGTTCAGTGAAATACCCACATGGAATTAAGCATTTGGTACAATGCAGCCCAACTGGGGCCAGAGTGGGTACCGTGGAAAGGGCACATGCCTTGCGTGTGACTGACTCGGGTGTGATCCCAGCATCCTGTCCGATCCCCTGAGCCCGCTGGGAGTGATTGCCGGGTGCAGAGCCAGAAGTAAACCCTGAGCATTGCTGGGTGTGACCCAGAAACCAAAAATACATACATATATACCTGCATACCTTCCAGAGTCCCAGCTGATTCCGTATTACCCCCTGCCCAAGGTGGTTTCCAGGAATAAGCCACGTTTGAGAACACGAGGGTGCAACCTAGGGAGAAGGCGGGATTCTCTGCAGGGAACCGAGGCACGAGCACCTGGCAGCTTAGCTCCTCCCCGCCCGCGTCTTGACACACGGCGGCTCCCGTCCCTTAACAGACTGTAAGGTCCAGTGCCCTCACTGGGAAGGCAGGGCCGGGAAACGCCAGGCCACCGCTACTCCAGGGTGAAACCACAGCCCGGGCCCAGCTGGCCCTTCCTGGGGCCTGCGTTCCCGTCCACGACAACACTAGTGAAGAAAATTCTACATCTGGTGGATGATGGGGGTGACCCTCCGTGGGTTCCGCATGTGGGCAGGTGGGTCTGGGTTCGGGACAGGGAGGCACCAGGTGCAGAGTCAAGGTCTGCACAGGGTCAGGCTCACCAAGTTCCTGGTTGGAGTTCGAGGCTGCTGGGTTGTGGCCACTGAGGGCCAGGGCTTGGGGACGTCCTGTATGGCCCATGCAGACCTTTCAACAACATGAGCCAGAGCAGGAAGGACAAGACATGCAGCGAAACTGCTCGGAAGCCCAGATCTGCAGGCATGGTCTTTCATCTGTGTTAAGTGCCAGAGATCTCGGTGGTATCTCCAGATGTTAAGTGGCCTCAAGCCTGAGACACACAGAGATGGGACAGATTTTTCTTTTCTTTCTTTTTTTAAAATTTGGGTCACACCCGGTAATGCTCAGGGGTTACTCCTGGCTCTGCACTCAGGAATGACTCCTGGTGGTGCTCGGGGGACCATATGGGATGCCAGGGATCGAACCCAGGTTGGCTGCATGCAAGGAAAAAAGCCCTCTCCACTGTGCTATTGCTCCGGCCCCTGGGACAGATTTTTCAAGGTTTTATTCACACACTAACACACACTCATATAAGGGACTCAGCGCTGAGGGTTCACAAGCCTAAGATCCTTGGAACCTTGATTGCCCTCCAGGAGAGGTTCTTAAGCCCATACCCTTCTGCCTACGTGCCTGGGTGCCTGCCTGCGTGTCT